ACCCGGATGTCAGAGAGACCGTCCCTCATCTGATTGTCGAGTGCCCTACATTCGATAGGCAGAGGTTCGACATCGAATTACAGTTAAAAACGTTGGTAATATAATAAGTAGTAAGTATAGAAATAAATTTATAAAACACTGCACAGATATTGTTAATGTAGTAAATAAACGGAATAGAGTTTAAGAACCATGAGACAAAATAATGTAAAATTATTATTTTTCATCATATAATAAAAGTTAGCAATATCAGTAATAGTAAGTTGTGTAGTAGAGTAGGTACTGTATTTTTTTTGACATTGTTTATAACTTGTAATTTAGTAGTAAGAAATGTTTAGCAATAAAATAACAAATATGTACAGAAGAAAAAGTAATTAAAAAAGTTTCCGTGTCACCATTTATTACCCTAGTTAAAAAGGTAAATACATAAATCATGAACTAAATATAAGCCGAACAGCAGGAATCCCACCTGGACGGTATGAAAGAAAGACAAATATGAAGAATGAAAGTACGAGCAGTAGCAAATGAGAGAATCAGAATGAATGGATAAAGTAGGTAATAGGCTCCAAATTGACATTGGAGGTGCTAGAAGGCAGCAACACCCTGCGATGGCGGGTGCCTGCATTAAAAAAAAACCCCGCGATGCAATTGAATTGGTCTTGTGATCTGTTCTTGGTCATCGTTACGGCTTCCTACATACATCTCAACACTTGGATATATTTGCAGTCGACCAGGCATCTCTGCATAAATTCCAGGATAGCGTACGTGGACTTCGAAGGCCTTCTCGTCTGAGGCTGATTGTATTCTTCTGGCTTCTCGATTATTTGCCGTAATGTGTGTATGTGGTCCACGGTGCTGAAGCCGTTTCGAAACCCAGACTGCTCCACTAGCTAGAAGTCATCGAATTTCTGGGCAAGACGATTCGTAATGACCCTCGAGAACAACTTATACACATGGCTCAGGAGTGATATGGGGTGAAAGTTCTTCAATAGGCTTTTGTCTCCTTTTTTGAAGAACAGTACTACGGTGCTCCTGCTCCAAGCCTCGGGTGTAGTGTTAGTATGTATAACGGAATAAAACAGCTTTACGAGCTCTACTAACATAGGAGTTTCTCCGGCTTTTAAGAGCTCTGTTGTAATTCTAGGTTAAGTAAGTAAGCTTTGATATTACTAAGTTGTCCGAGCGCCATTCTAATCTCGACCAAATCGAAGTCAGGAATCTCGTCTGTGTGGTGGCGTGTCAGTCTAGCCCGCGGGTTAAGGGTTTGCGAGGTCCTCATAGAACTTTTCGACTTCAGCGAGAATCTCTGTTTTGGTCTCTACCAACGCAGACTTTCGTTTGGTCAAAAAAGTTACCTTGTCTGTCTCCCCTCCTTTTGTCTTTTTTTTCGGGTGGTTATGTCGGACTCGAACCGACTAAAAACGCCGTCTCGGATACCACTAAATAGAAAACCAGGTGTACCATAGAAAGAAAGTTACTGTTTCCCACCACTACTACGTTTTAGTCCTTAAAGCGCGCTCTCTCGCGACAGCGCGTCGCGCTTCCACCCCGGCCTCACCCGCCACATTTAGGCCTGTGCTTAGGGAGGACGGAGGTTGTTCTGCAACTTCCGTCCCTTAGCGCAGGCCTGAGTCGTGTGCCGTGCCTGTTCCCGGGCCTGGCGGAGCAGGACCGGGAGAAGCTTAGAACTCTCCCGGTCCTGCTCCGCCGTTTCCTTTGCAAACTTAACTTGTTCGCAGATGGCGGAGCTCCACGCGCCCTCGCTACGTATCATGGCCGCAATCAGAGTGCCGAGCGAGAGAATTCCCACTCCGATGGCCGCCACGAGGTCGCACCTTTGCTTCACCCATGCCGAGCATTCTGCCAACGTGTGGAGCGCCGTGTCCACAATCCATCCATCGCAGTGGTGGCACTCAGGTATTAGCTCCTTGCGGATCAGACTCAGAATCTCCGAATCTCTCTCTTATGAAGAAGATAGCCTCAAATAATCCGATAGTGGCAGGTAGGCAAGCCTTGAAATCTAATCAAATCAACCTTGCCTTCTCTTACTGCTTGACCTTGGCGATTGTTGGATAAATGTTCTCTCTTCTGTGGGTGGACAGGTCATAGTATATATGTGCATGTATATAATATATACATACAGTAAAACGATTTTAGATATTTCGGGTTTAATATCCTTTCATTAGTTGAGCTGTGTTAGTGTGTGTGTGTTTTCTGAATACATAAAATAAATTCTTTCAGTTTTATAAAGTTATCTTTAATTATTGAGCTCGTTTAATTTTCTATAAACAGGTCATTGAATGTTTTCATAAGAGAGGTTGCTGGCATAGGGAGCGCTTGCTACATTACACCTACTAAGATAAATCCGAACGTTAAATACGTATATTTAACATTGATATAACTTTTATGACCATGTTTTTCTTGACGCTATTATTATTAATTAGGTCAAGACAATTGTTGGTACCCCTTTTAAAGCAAAAATCGCACCTGTAGTAATTTGAAATTTTATATAGGTCTTAAAGTCTTCAAAGCTAAAATTTAATAAAATGTGTTATTATTTTTTAAATTATGTGAAAACGTCTACATCAAATACCATAATTGTCCGTCAGATAACGGAAGAACGGAATATAGCTCGTGTTAACAAGTTTTGCCAACTTGTTAATTTTATCATTGAATATAATAAAAGGGTTTATAACCCAGTGTACAGAGAATATTTGCAAATAGCCCAGGATAGATTAAATATTCCTAATCATCTAGCCGATGTAGTTGAAGCTGGCCACGAGAATAGGAGACACACAGGATTCTTAAATAATACATGGTAACCATCCTCACTTGAATGAATTTAAAAGGCTAACAATTGATAACTTTAAAAAATAGCTCTGGGCTCCTAACAACTCAAGCAGGCACTGTCATATTACGGAGAACTCATCCGACAAAATGCCACATAATAATATACTGTGCAAATAAATAATGCCATAGAAGATGGCATACCGAGGAGTTTGTGAACAATTATATAATTCGTGGCAAACTAAAATAAAGACAAGTAAGCAGTCGCTTATATTATATTTACCTACTGATAAGCAGAAATGAGGACACTGTGAATATACTAGGCGCTATCTCTGGCTACTTTTGTAGCTGTTTGGTGGGCAGACGCACGGTGAGCTGTTGTGCCCATGTGATGACTATTATCTTGTATTTGAGCTGGGGGCGGCATAACAATATTGCTGCACCAGTACCATTTTTAGAGGATATTTTTTGAACATCTGTGAAAATATCGAAAATTTGTACAGTATTGTCATTAACACGGATAATGACAATACTGTACAAATTTTGTGTCGGATTAAGAATACAGAATGTTACCATTCATCCCGTGGGTGTCGTAAGAGCCGACTAAGCGAGCAAACTCGGTGGTATTGTTGGCCGAAACCTCCATTGTAAGGAGAGGCCTATGTTTAGCAGTGGACTGTTACGGGCTGTTGATGATTTTTAATACTCAACTGCTCAGTGGTGACCTATACTTTTTTATGGTATAGGGGGGCAATCGCACAGACAAGTCACCTGATGGTAAGTGCAGGACACTTGCAACTCGAGTGGACTTGAGTCCTCCCCCCATTATCAGGGGGGTTTGGGCTCTAGTACTCACTCACTAGGTGAAAAGCAAGGACAGAATTGCTTAACACCAGTTTTCTGTGAGGCGCTTTTATCACTCCAGTCGAGCCGGCCCATTTGTACCGAAACATGACTCTCCTACGGTATTCTTTATATTCATACGTGTCCAGAAGGCCTAGTGTGAGTTTATTTCACACCAACTCGCTCTCGACGGCGACCGCGTCCGGCGTTTCGATTAGTGAAGATTTCAGTGCGGGCCAGGGTTCTCAATTTCTTAGAATCAAACTCAAAATATATTTGTCATTTTTTTAATTGTTTTAAATCGTCTTTTATGTAGCCTCTAACGCCATAGATCAACACACACAATAGCAACACTCTCCGTTTTGCCAAATAGTAAGCAAAATAAATTTAATCAAAATTAGACTTATACGATCTATGATATGCATGTGCCGATCTACAACCGCCGGTTAATAAATATTATGTTCTTTTTATTGTTCTCCTCTTCCTCTGAATAAACCTTGTGTTTTGATCAACTTGAGTATTTGTTTGATTGTTCCTAATTATAGGCAACAGAAGTCTGTAGCATTCCTGTCCACAGTTAACATAGCAAAAGATTAGGTAGGTATTTAATTCACTGTTATTGTAGTAGGTAATTGTTACGTTAAGCAACTAGTTTAAAAAAAACAGGTATTGGATTACTATTCCACGCTGGCCAGTGCACGAAAATTGTTATTTTGTTTTATGTGTGAATATTACGTTTGCACGCCTTGGATAATTTGATGTGCATCGGTATATTTGATATGAAAATAATATATTTTCGTACATTGGACAGCTTTTTTGTCGAGCATTGGAGGATTTTTTTAAAAGTGTAGTCTGTTTGCATTACAATAATTATTTTGTTGTGAAAAATATTTAGTTGATGTAAACATGTTGACGAGTGATAAGTTTTTATTGCATTTAAACATACGTCTTTTTTTTACAATCTTTAATCGACAATCGAACTTTCCTAAGTAAACATACGTGTCAGAGTTTGATCTTGTAAACATGTGATTATACTATTATTTGCCTTTCGCAAACATTTGTTTTGGTACATACTATTAAACAGCGCAATAAACACAGTGTAAAGTTTACTGTAATTTGATCTGCAATCAAACTGTATTACCGTACTAAATTGTATCCAACGTGATGATTCAATAAGCTCTTGCTATTGTAGAAGACAATGCCGTTGCAATTTCTTTATTGATTGACAATATTAAAAGCGCCTCATATTTATTGTAAAGTATTAAATAAATAATAGAATTTTAAATAATATGTTTGGCTTTTGGATTTTTGTAACGGAATGCTTTGTGTATTTAGTTTATAATAGGCCGTCGTAATAAATACGTTATTTGTTTTTAGTTCGTCTTGAAATTTGGAAATCGTAAATCTGTGTCGCGTAGATTGTCTTTGATCCATCGTTCTGCCTGCTCTGTCATTTCCTCATCGAAGTAGTCGCGCCAACTTCCAGACTTACCTGAAATAAAGACATTTTATAACAGTCTCAATATAGAAATATTCACATAATTAGCGCAGTATGACAGTAAATAATAACCTTTCCTGATAAAACATTCATTACTTTCAAGCATTCCATGTTCCCTCAACCATTCCTGATTGACTGATTTGTTATTCTTGAAATTCTTGACACTAAGGTGATTGCATAGACGTTCGGTTTCCTCTGATGTCAGATTTTTGCCCAAAAAATCAGCCACGCGACGTATGGAAGTTGGTAAGTCCTGTATTGGCAATATAAATAGTCGTCATCTTACAATAATTTCAATTTTTAATTTTATCAAACATCACTTACGTATGATTAATAAAAATAATACTAGTAATACTAATAATACTACACCTCACACCATGAGTTAGTCCATACAAACTTATAGGACGGGTCTGTTGATCTAGTGGTTAATGACCCACCCAGGACTAATGATAGTTATTTATCAATAATATGTATGTATTTGAAATTATATAAATATATCAACAATCTGGTTAGCTAGGCTCTGTCTAGTGGGGGATCAAACTGGCGTGTGTGTGAGACGTGTAGAGTTAAAAGAGAAAATTATAACAATTCATCTAATTAACTTTTAAGATTTCCCTTGTCTCAGTTTCTGTCATATTGGACTGGTATACATTTTTCAAGTAGCATTAATGACAAACTTAATTAGGTTGATAAGAAGTGTAACTCATATCTATGTTTTGGCTTGCGAAGTGCTAATACTGGTATCTTTTGATTGATTTGACTTGAAACTTTATTTTTATAGTGCCAAGGGACCACAAATAATTACTCGATGTTAATTAAAACTCGGTACCTACGAGTATTTTTGGAAATAAACATCCTAACAGACGTCTGTCAAGACAGGTAACATAGTGATCGTAAAATCTCCTTATATATTGACAGAACAGGTCTTTGCTATTGTGTGTGTTGACTTTAGAGTCTAAGACGATTTCAAATATATTATTTATGAAATAAAGATATTTTGAGTTTGAGTATAATTATTTCCTTTTTCCCTTTGACTTAAGATAACCGGACAGATAACCCGAATACGGATAAATACCCTTACTTTACAACAAAAAAAAATTACTGTAATAAGTTCTTCATAAAACAAGAACAGCATGTTGGGATGATATCTTTTCTCCCATGCTTCTTTGACGTGTTCCAACATGGGGCAGAATATATCTGGAAGAATAGATTGAAGCATGATCTTTTTGCGTTTAATAACTTAATTCTACAGTTATTATTGTTGCAACTAAATACTTACATAGATCTTTGTACAATAAATTCCAAAATTCCTTGAAACCACCTGGGAAGCGTATTATCTTGAATAACTTCGCACAATGATAGGACGACACGGCTACATCTCTAGGATCCCGTGCAATGTACACCACTTTTGCGGTGTCGAGCAACTTAGGGTTCAACAAGGACATTGGTAAGTGAGTCTTAATGAAGCGAGGAATCGATACAGGCATTGTTGCAAGCATTTTAATTGGTGACTGAGCCCGATCTTTCAATATTTCGATCATAGTATTTTCATCCGTCCTAGAATTGATGTTCGTAACAAATTCGTCTAATTTATTTTCATCAAAGAACATAAAGCGGCTGAAAGAAGGTATCTATTATATTTTTTGCATTAATTTAATATAGTATTGATTTAAGCTAGTTAAATTTATTACACAGCGCTGTCCTTGCCCTATACATGTATAGTTTCTATTATGCTAAGGGTTCTACACCATAGATATTCATCCTAAATGTTTTTTTTTAAACTCATAAGTATGGTAGTTCACTAACCATCTTTTGTTTTCAGGATAGATTAAGGTAAAAGTAAAATTACTTACTTTAAGGGAACATATCTCTCTGTAAGTGGTACCTCTGCCGCAGTGGTGTAATCTAAATTATTTGCTATCATCCAAACGAGTTCCTGAGTCCACGTGGTTCCTGACAGAAGACGTATTTAGTAAACATTTAAAGAAAACAAACTGCATAAACTGCCTTGAATTATTTGTGACACAATAAACTTCGCTTTTACTACGCTTTAACTTTGTTTGCTGAACCTTTCTTAATTATGGATTATTTTTCTAAAATAATTATTCTGTGTGGCCTGGATTTTCATCGTCAGATGTAATTAATCTTTCACTTGTACTTCGCATATTGTCGTGGGAAAGCCATGGTTCGGCAAACATAGGCCGGCTCGACCGGAGTAATGACACGGCCCCACATGAGGTGACCAGAGCTCGAATCCCCTCCCCTAGTCTGGCTCGAGGGCGCACTCAAAGGGGGTCACACATGGGTCTTTTGAGTTGCAAGTTCTCATCTGTGTGTATCATAAAGAAAAACCACTAACCTGATCGTATAAAGCTCACGACAAATATATCTGAGGGTCTTAGGGTCATGTTGTAGATGTTGGCAGCTTCCTTCTTGTAGGGTGCATACACAATGAAACCCTTGGGACCAACCCGAGATAACCGGTAAACACTGACAATTGCTAAAATACGTACATACTAGTCTGTAAAATATTATTGTCATAATTTTCTAGGGGAAGTCAAATTTAATGAGAGGTAGATAAGAGCTTGTTAATGCTATCCTGATAAATAAAGCAGATCAACATTTTAATTGTGTAAATGTATTGCATTGGTAAATATATTTTCTTTTCGGAAGTCAGCTTCGTTTGAAAATATTCGCTTTAGGCAGTGTATTTCTTTTTAAACGGTCCTTTTTTGCTCGTAACGTTGAAAGAGCTGAATCAATTAGTGCTCAGAAGAATAATTGACCGTAGATACTTACAACCAAACACTTTATCGATGTACTGTTGTTCTTCTGGTGTCACATCTTTAATTTGGTAAGGAAACGGTAGAATTTTTTGCTCATCCATGATTGTTTTAGAAATACTACTGTTATATGTCCGATGATCATTGAGTTAAAACAACACTAGAGAAGCAAGTGAGGTTTGCTTCTCTAGTGTATCACACGTCGAAAATAGTGTAACCACTTTTGAACTTTGACGACGTAAACATATTTATGTCTCATTTACACCAGTGACAAGAACAATACTATCGCTCAGATTAGACAAAGACAAAAACATAACTTTACGGTGGCGGGCCAGTGTTGACTACCGTATGAAATTTTACCCATAACAACCAAGAAACAAAAAGAGTTTTTAAAACAATTTTGTAATAAAATAAATTAATTTAAATATTTTAAATAATATATTTCTAATTGAATGGAATAGGTATAAATAATAAAATAACTGGAAATATTTTGTTACAAGGGTTTAAATTAACTGTAAAATCAATGTCCGCTGTGAAGCATCAGTTTTGTATACAATTGTCATTTAGACTATTTTTAATAAGTTTGTGTGGATAATTTACTTTCATGATACAATCTTATTTTTACGTATGTATAAATAATGGCATTTAATAATAAAAGTGAATGATCAACTTGTACTGATGATAAATAATCCCCAGGGTGTATTGCAAATTCTTTTAATATTTTGTTTCCTTGAAGCTTCTCTAAGGTTTTTGACGCTAATACCATTAGCCCAAATTTAGGAGACTAAGACTGCTTTCGCAACTGCTTTAACAAGACAACAATTTTTCATTATGTCAAATGAAAAATTGTTGTCTTGTTAACATGTTTATCAAACCTTACTTTATTTTCAGTTAATTGTGCATGTTGTTTTTTAATTTTTGTTTTATTTTTGTATGCTGTGCTTTATGAAATAAATGATATTCTTTTATATTCTATTCTATCATTTTAAGGATTTTAAAATGGATACATTTAGCCGCGTTAAGTGATTTTTGGTAGAAGTATAATTCATTGATTGGAGTTAACTGTGATGGTGCACAGGTAACCGTATGCGACTGCTGTAAAGAGGTTTCGGGTTCGATTCCCGGGGCCGACCAAATGTTTGTAAGATCTGCAAATATTTGTTTCATGTATGTGTGTTTTCTATTTATAATATGTATGGATTTACAAAAAAAGTAAATAAGTATTCATTCAGTCAATCTCGCTTTCATAGTACAAGCTTTGCTTAGTTTGAGGCCAAATGGTGACGTGTATGAAAAAAATGAATGTCACGTGTTGAACAAGACATTTAATTTTTAAACCATTTTATATTATTTTCAAAATCGATCTAAGTGGCGTGCAATGGGAGAGGCCTATGTCCAGCAGTGGACTGCGATAGGCTGATGATGATGATGATATTATTGTTTTTTCTTCGAGTATATTTTTCTAGATTAAAAAGATTTAACACAGTCATACTTTGCCCTATTTTAAAGAAAAATTTCAACAACTGGTATCATTCATGCACGCAAACTTAGAAAGGAGAATGACGTGACGTGGTGTAAGACGAAGCTGTCACTCAAACTGATATTGGAAACTCCTCTCATTTCCTTTTCTGATTCTTTTGCTCTCAGAGTCTCTCTTTAGTTCTCTATTTAGACATAGTAATATAATCTAAGAATATACCACAAATACTGTTTTTTTTTTGTTTTGTATGTTGGAGAGCAGACGAGCAGACGGGTCACCTGATGGAAAGTGAGCCCATGAGCGTCTGCAACTCAGGAGTCATAAACGCCTTGCCGGGCATTTAGGCAGGAATACGCTCTTTTCTTGAAGGTCGTTTCGGTCCGGAAATACTACAGACGATAACCCGTTCCACAGATTAGTTATGCGGGGCAAAAAGTGCCTCGAAAAGCGCAAAGTAGTGGATCCACTACTGTGGATCTCCAGGTGATGAGGATGAAAATTTTACCGTGTGGAACGATGGCTGCAAGTTGCGGCTGGTATTAGTACGAACAATTCCCCGGAGCACTCTCCATGATATATGCGATAGAGAATAAAGAGTGAATCCACATCACTACGTAACGCCAAAGGATCGAGCCGGGTGTTGTACCTTGTCCCAAATTAACTATTAGTAAAAGTTTATATATATTTATATATATATATATATTGTGATGTACAACGTAAGTAACTAACTAATCTAGTGTCATATACTTAACATTTCCCCATTAGTAAAATTAATATTGCAATCTACAATTTCGGGAAGCGCAGATCCGTATCTCGCAGGTTGTTTGCAATCCACTGGTCCGCCTGCTGTGTCATCTCCTCGTCAAAGTATTCTCGCCAACCGCCAGCTTTACCTGTAGATGGAAGGAATCGAAGTTAACTTCTCATTTTGTTCTATGTATAATTATGAAATTTCGAATTCTATTACGTTTCAGTATAAAAATAGGTATTTTGATTATTATTTTTTTTGTAAAAGGGAGCAACCGAGCAGACGGGTCACGTGATGGTAAGTCACTACCGCCATCCATGGACACCTGCAAAAATCGGAAGTGCGTTGCGTTGCGTGCCCTTACAGTCCCTACCTCAAAATTAGGAGGAGGGATAGGGTTATGGATCCAGTAACTTCTCTTGCTCGGTGAAAAGCAATGAAAGAGAGACACCGGTTTTCTGCCAGTCGTGGAATCACTCCAGCTGAGCCTGGCCCATATGTGCCTAAAGCATGGCTCTCCCACGATAACGGATTTGTCTGTGTGATACACACAGTGATCTGAAGACTGTTAAACATCTAATGCGTCGCCACGCTATTTGATAGTAAATATGTAACATGTTGTCCGTGTGGTGACGGATAAGGAATACAACCACCCCTATTCATCCCGTGGGTGTCGTAAGAGCCGACTAAGGGAGAAAACTACGCAGAACAACAGCACTGCCGTAGAAGGAAAACTTGACACAAACCCTATACCAACCCGTCTGGCCAGCGTGGCCAAAACCTCCTTCCTAAGGAGAGGCCTATGTCCAGCAGTAAACAGTTCTAAACAATTTCGTTATAATCATTTATAACGTTGTGTAACGCAAATAAATTAAGAAAAAAACCTAGAATTAGTTCTACATGAAGATAATGCATGAAAGACTAACGACACAGAATATTCCGTTTGAATCTGGAAACCTTGAGAAAATGCGATTAGATGCTATTAATTTATAGTCAAAGGCTGCCAAAACAATACAAAGTTGATGAAAAAATAACTTAGGGAGGACATTCAGTGATTCTTTTGCCTCCATATCATCCGCCCTCAATCCAATCAAGGCAATATATGGTGCTATCAAAAGAAGACTTAGCAAGAAATTATATGCACTCCCATTTAGATAAAGAAAGATGTTCTTGCAAATTGTTTTGCTAATCACAGACATCACAATTGTTAGCTGCAAATTGAAAAAAAAGATGGTACGTAATAAACGTTAAGATTAGTTACCGGCTAAGTGACAAAAAGTTTGATAGGTTCGTTGTATCGCTAAATGATGATTCTGATCGCTCTGATTATATGAGCGAAAATAATTCAGAAGATGAAAATATGGAATGTGAAGAAAGTGATTAACTTAATTTCGTTTTTATTATGTTTTTTTTACTTTGATCTCTTGTATGCGTATTTTTTTTAGTTTTAAATTGTTCCTTTGCTTAATTCCTTGAGATGTAATTTATCTATAATATATGAGTAAATATATGGATAATATGTAAGTATAATATATAAAATAGAACAAACTCATATATTGTTCGAGCGAGTAGCGATTTCAATAAATTGTTCAAGGAGTACTCTTAGATCCCTTTAAGACCAAAAGCTTGGTTGTGCGCAGTATGCTAAACCTTAAATTTTTCCAATCGTAACATTGCTAGATCGATTGTTATCTCAGCTTAGCGTCGTAGAATAGAAAACTCAGCGTCCTAGAAAAAGATCAGACGTTCGTGGACTACCTACAGCTGATATTACTTCTTTGAGATGGCTGATATTCTTTGAGTGCGCATCTGATGGTATGTGCTAAATCAGAATACCTCTACGAATAAAATCTTCCTCCTGTGTAAATACACCCAATCCTTTGATATATTCAAAGTTTACGGCATCATTTTTCTTAAAGTTTTCAAAGTTAAGATGATCACAAAGGCTGGTTACTTGGTCCTCTGTTACGTCTTTGCCTAGGAAATCTGCCACTCGGCGTATTGACGAGGGTAGATCCTAAAACAATAAAATAAATCGAGAATAGACAACATTAGAATTTGAGAGTGTAAATGTGGTAGAATCTTATAATAATATTATTATTCTCCTTATTAGTTAGTTCAATTATGAAGAAATAATCATAAAATTATATTTGAATGTCTTATACAACATTTAAAAATAAACCAAAACTATAACAATTTATTAGATTTTACAATATGTCATGCAAAATACAATAAAGAAACTATAAATTAAGCTATATCATGATTTAAAATATGATTCAGTTTTTATTATTAGATATTACATAATTTACTAACAATTTAATTGCATTTAATATAAGTATATTTGTATGATTGAAAATATGATTTGATGGAATAATAGTTATTTTCCAATAGGAACGCTTTAAGCTTTAGTTTAAATAAAGAAGTCCTGTAAATTAGCCTTTTTTGTTTACTGATAAATAGTTATAAAGGTTAACGGATTAATACTGAACACAGTGCCGAGCTATATTCAATTCAATAGTAGTTCAGTAACACAATGTTGCTAATTGTTTGAGGAATATGGACTCTAGTTCGCATTGATCTTTTTTTGTAAAATTAACGTCCTCTCTATATTATATTCGTAACTAGTGCCATAGTATATATACTATATCTTAACCTTGACTCTATCAGCGCATGATTAATGGATTTTAGGATATCTATTCCCACTTCTTCGTGAAGGCTCCTAATTGCAAAGCACGCTGAAGAGATTGAGGCTTTAATAGATTTAATCTCTTTTTTCCAATTAAGCAATGCGTCAAATGAACCCCTAATAATTTAACAGAATTTACGAGTTCTAATTTCAGTCCATTAATCATAACATCTAATCTACCGGTACTTTTATATTCATTTTATACACACATTAATTACATTTTTAAATATACTTTTCAAAAAAAATTGAAAATATATATTTAAAAATAGTAGACCACCGATTATTATTAGAAAACATTTATTTAGTATTTCTATAGTTTATAAAACGAATAAAAAAAAAAACAGCGCACCTTTATGGAATCTTCGTAAAATAAAAATAGCATATTTGGATGGTGTCTCAAATTCCAAGCTTCCTTCACATGCTCGAAGTAAGGAGATATTTTAACTGAAACAAATCATCATAACATTCTTTAAAAAAATGTCAAGTGATTGTCCAACTTTTTTTTTTATAAAATGAAATAAATACATATAATTTTGCAATGGTGATGATGATTAAACATTCCTTTAACATTTATAAACATTATTACTTACTAAAAGATAGTCAACAAGTAAAATCTGTTATATCTGCATTCCAGAAAATTCTCTGTGATATCATAAAAAAAATAATAAAAAACGCTACTTACCTAAATTTTGACTAAACAAACTCCAATAATCTTTTAATGTTCCTGGGAAATCAAAAATATTTATGAGACGATTCAAATGGAAGTTTGATACTGAAACATCTCTAGGGTCCCTCGCAACGTACACCACCTTCGCAGTGTCAAGCAGCTTTGGAGGCAACAGCGACAATGGCATGTGAGTCTTGAGGAACCGAGGAGAAGGTATGGCGGACAGTTTCTCTTTAACAGGCTTATTTACATTTTTCAAAAACTCTGACGTCATCTCCTTGTCTTTAGCATTTTGCAAAAGCTCTTCTTGCCATTGTGAACCCGCATACTTCAAAAATCTGTAAAAGTATTTGAAAAGGATGCCTCTACGTGTCAAAAAAATGTAATAGGTCAGGGAAAAAGTCTTTTCGTATTTTGTGTGTCTAAAAAAATCGACTTTATGGCATCGACCACTACCGTCGTTTCCCAGCGGCCCCAGCCGCGACTAATTCATCTATTTATATTTCGTGGCTCGTTTAATGATCGAGGCTTTTTATGACTTAGCAGCCATGTCTCAGTATATCATCATCATCAACAGCCTCTAATATTACACTGTTCGACATAGCCTCTCCTTAAAATTTTGGTTTTGGCCTACTATAGCACTCCTGGCCTCTCTTTGCAGTACTGTTGTCTTGCGTAGCTTGTTCCCTTAGTCGGCTCTCACGACACCCACAAGATGAATAGGGGTGGTGACACTCTGTATTCTTAATCCATCACCACACGGACAAACTCTTATCAATATAAAACAGTTAGTCTTAATGAGGAAACTGTGGCGAAATATCTCTGTATATACCGAATGTTGTCATCTGTGTATATAAACAATATCTACTTTAATAATTACTTACTCAACGAAAGGAAACCTTTGCATTAGGACTTTAGATTTTGCTGTGGCATAGTCAAAATCGTTTGCTACTAGCCACACTAATTCTTGGGTCCAAGTAGTGCCTGTAAAATGTAAGAAAATATAAATGAAAACACCACTTATTCTTAAAGAAGTTTACATTCTTTTAGACCTATACATTGTCTAGAAAGTATATTTAAGTAAGATTTCAGTTCCAAAACTATCCTTTGGAAAGTGTTAGAACTGAAATAAAATAAAACGACAGAAATGAAACAATAGAGATTTTTACATTGACTGATGCAACTTCACATCACACCACATCAACAGCTGGACCACTAGTTTTTTTCTTAAAGGTCTACTAACAACAGAAATTCCAAGTATTCCCGTTAACCCCTCCCGCTCAGCTAAATTACTTGTGTTAGGAGTGGGTTCACGTAGTATACTGGTCAGGACTCGAACCCACGACCCTTTTAATCGCAAGTCCAATGCCTTAACCACTAGGATACGTCCATTTAATAGTCCACTGCTGAACTTACGCTTCTCCTTACAAAGGAGGTTTTGGCTTACTATACCTCGTTGGCCAGACGGGTTGGTATAGGGTAGTGTTAGGTTTTCCTTCTCTTTGCAGTGCTGTTGTACTCCATAGTCTGCTTCCTTAGTCAGCTCTTACGGCACCAGCCGAATAAATAGGGTTGGTAACACTCCGTATTCACTCATCCACTTATCTACGATCAGGATCAGGATCAACAATTCGTCACCACACGGAGAAGAGGCAATTTGTGTGAATGAAATTATAATGGAAAAATAAAAGCTCATTTGCAGATAGTACTCAGATAAATTATAATAAACACTAGCTGAGACCCGCGGTGTTACCCGCGTTTGTTGTTATAACCGCGGGCAAAACCTTGGGGCGAAGCTAGTCTAAAAAAGTAGCCTAAGTTACTCTTTATGTCATCAGCTATCTGCCAGTGAAAGTCCCGTCGAAATCGGTCCAGCCGTTCCAGAGATTACCCGGAACAAACAGACGGACAGACAAAAATTGTAAAAAATGTTATTTTGGCATATGTACCGTGTAAACATACATATGCATTTAGTAAAAGCGGTTATTTTAATATTACAAACAGACACTCCAATTTTATTTGTATAGATTACAATTTATTTGCATCTTTAATACCAATTATGATTGGTAATAATATTTTTATTTTTTTTAATCCAAATAGGTTGCTTAATAAAGACAATACTTAAATAGTAGGATTTACCTGATCGTGGATAAGTGACTACGAATATGTCATCACTTCTTAAGGCCATGTTGTAGATATCGGCAGCTTCTTCGCAGAAAGGACGTAGTAATTTGAACTTTTTCGGACCCACACTAACTAGGTCAAATCTTGGCATCAATTCTGAAGCTGTAATGTAAAAACATCCTCTCGTACATCAATCAATTTTGAATTTATGAGAATTTATTTTAATTGAAGACATACCTACATTTATTATCGACTTTGAAGACGTTATAGTGTAGTGGTTAGTGGTCCTGACTGCCAAGTCGGAAGTCGTAGGTTCAATTTACACCCAGAACAAATATTTGTGTGGTGATTAACGCACGTTCATTTGTTCTGTATATGTGTCCCTTTTTTCAAAGTTTTTAATTTCTAACGCATAGCTCTAAATAAACTCTCGGAAATAAATTTTTACCTTATTTGGAGTACGATAACCCGTGCCAACTTGCATCGAATCATGTTCATACATGTTACGCGGCAGTAGCTACTTATTCTCGCGATTAACACATATTGTTTTACATTTAAAAGATGCAGCAGCAGCAGCAGTGGAATTAAGAAGCAATAAAAAAGTATTTTCTTAGTTGGTGACGTAATTATCAAATAACAGGCGCAAATTTACACCCATTTAACCTGGAGCTAAAATTTTCAATCACTCGCTGGAGCATCGCTCTTGGAATAGAGTTGATTTCTTCAGTGATTCTTTGCTTCAAAACATTCAGATTGGGCGGCAATGGATTGTTAACTTTACTTTTTAGGTAGCCCCATAGGAAAAAATCAGCAGGCGTTAAATCAGGGCTCCTCGGTGGCCAGTTGATGTCTCCTCGCCGACTTATCACTCTTCCAGGGAATAAATCGTGAAGAGCCGCTAATGAGTCATTTGTAACATGAGAAGTGGCTCCATCTTGCTGGAAAAAGGTGTTGCGGTTGTAGCCATACTAGTTTTGCATTTCTGTAGCCAAAAAGTCCGGATCATATGGCAATATCGATCAGAATTAACGGTCTGCGTTCGACCTCGGTCATCCTCAAAAAAATAAGGACCGAAGATTCCTTGGCTTGATATGGCAGCCCAAACAACAACTTTTGGCGAGTGCAAGGGCTTCTGGTGCAGTTCTAGCGGATTCTCGGAAGCCCAGTATCTGCAATTTTGTTTATTCACGTGACCGTTTATGTGAAAATTCGATTCGTCGGAGAACCAGATGTTATTGAAACTCCTAAAACGGTTTTTCATTGCACTGCAGAATTCGACTCGTTTATGAGGATCATCAGGCTTCATTTCTTGAACAATAACAATTTTATAGGGGTGAAAATGTAAGTCTTTCGAAATAATGCGATGAACCGTAGATTTGTTCAAATTAAGAGAAGCTGCGCCCAATCTCAACGACTGTCGTGGGTCGTCCATAACAGACTGGCGAACGCGGTCGACGTTCATGCTCGTTCTTGATGTCCTTTTGCGCCCAGACGATTTGGTCGGCATTGTATTCCCAGTCTCTTCAAACTTGCACACCCAATGCTTAATTAAATTGGCACTTGGCACATGATTTAAGCTTGTTAAATTAAAATGTGTCCTGTAGAGACGACGAACAATAGTGTAGGAATCGTTGTTTTTATAAAACGCCCGTACGCAAAACGCGCGCTGCGGTCCCGTTAAACGATTCATGGCTACTAAACTTAACAAGCCGGCCAAGCGTTTGAGACCACTCCCCTCCCCCTGCTAGCTGCGGTTGGCGCGTATTGGTCAATTCAAAAACGAAAAACATTCTGAGACACCCTTTATTTACAAGCGCCGGTTCATCGTCATCTCTTACTACGCAAGATTCTATACAAGAGATGACGATAAACCTCCGAAACACATTTTCTTTGTCTTGCCCTTTCATTCCGTTCAGCTTACTTTTTGTCTTCACCCGCTTAAAACCCTAGACGCCTTGGTTCTCTTTGTTTTTGTAAAAATATTTTATCTTCTTCAATTTTCATCCCTTCCAAATCATCAGCCTCAGCTATATCAAATAAATTATCTAAATTGATTTTAAAGTCCTCCTCACGATACAACATCTTATATTTTTTTAGAATTTCTTAGGTCTGGTCAAGCAAAAACAGCAGATGTTTACTGTGCCGAACTTCGAACAATGATGGCGAAACGTAAAGTGAATCGATCTTCACCCTTATTGCCCCATGATAACGCAAGACTTTGTAAGTTTTTGTAAGTCTTATAATAACTTTTAAGTTCACATTAATTTTTGTAAATTGTTATTGCACTTTTGTTGGTCCATACTGTGCCTTCCTTTAAGTGGCGTGATGCTTAACTTTAAAATTCATATGTTTATAAATACATTGTAATAGTGTACTCGCCGTTGGTGGCCTAATAAATAAATAAAATAAATAAAAAGACCTCACACTGCACGAGAAGCCGTTGTAACTCTACAGAAGCAGCAGTTAAAAACCATACCAGTAACGAAAGTCAAAATGGTGCACATTTTTTAAAAGAAGAACCTCATGGGCATCATGTGAAAATCGTGTGTATCGTATTTCACACGAAAATCTCACACCATGAAGGTTTTATTTCAAATCAAAGTATCTGTTACTATATAACGAAAATTTCATACTTTAACCCCTATTACTATGTATAGTGTTGTATTTCTAAAGGCATATATGTATTTAGAAATACCATACCATGGGTTACCATAGTACAGGCTCTGCCTAGTTTGGTATCAGACGGCCGTATGTGAGATGTGTCAGGTTATTATTATAACAGTATATCGTCACTTATCTTAGTTTTCTACCATATTAATATGTGAGCTATAGACTAAGTCCTTCTTCGTATAATTTATGTAAATATAAATAAAATAGATCAAACAGTTCCGAGTTCGTTCTCGTTAAGATAAACGGATTTTCTTTCATTGTTCAGTTTTGGTTGACAAACTTTGGTATTTTTACGTTCGAATTTGACCTCTGGATGAACACTAGTGACAATAAAAATAGATTAGTAAAAATTTAATTTATAGCACCTTGTCATTCCTTTTAAGATATCCTTTTGCTCTTTAATCGACTAGTCGAAGGCCTCATTTGTTTATATAGTTACTTTTCTTTGTAGTTCCTTTTATATCACACTAATAACAGATCATGGACGATCATTATATTAATAAAAAAATGATTTTATTTGTATTTTCTTCTTATCTCTCTTCTTGTAAGGTGTATTAATTACTATTGGAGTAATCTCTTTGTAATCGCGACGCGACAGAATACATCTGTTCTCCTTAACTGAACAATCTTTTCATTCAATAAACTCACATTCTTACAATAAGGCCAGTCCTGTTTTAGTTATTCGTTCACCGTGATACTTAATTCTTTTTTATCAACATGCATATCAAATAAATAACAGGTACTCTTTCAAGGGTTTTACATACTCCTGTATGCTCAAACTTTAAGATAGCCTCTTTACTGAAAATTACGATACAAATAAGAAAACATAACCATATATTCACATACCATGATAATCAACCGACCCTCGGTTGATTATCTTGGTAATATATGTCCGTATAAAAAAGGAAAAAGACAATAATACATAGTTATATAAAAAATTAGGTGTAAACATTTAATTTATATTGTATTACGAGTGATGGCAGTGATACATAAACGCCCTGTGGTTATTCTGCGCTGTTACCGCATCTATTTTGATTAAATTGTAACCTTGTGTCATGAATAAAAAAAAAATTTAAAGTTCGAGTGTATTAACTAAACCCAAGCTTTGACAAATTTTATTACAATATAGAACTGTGTTAATCCAGGTATACTTACCTTTGTACGCTTTCAGCAACATCATTTTCTCTTCGGGCTTCAGTTCTTTAAACTCGTAAGGAAAAGGCATTTTTTTTTCCCCCATTTTTATTTCTAAAAAGATATTTGAACTACCCATTTTCACGTTAGTAGTACTTTAAGTTTAACTTAAAACTAAAATTGCATTTTATTATAGTTATACATAGTATATTATCTTTATGAACGATAATTATTTTATTTCAGTGCATATTGAACGATAAGGAATGCATTTGTGTGTGCGATACATTTTGTGTCACCTATATGCAGGTATTCAAATGCTATTGAAATATTGTCCTTTTGAAGTACAAATGTGTAGTACCTATGTTTAGTTAGATACAAATAATAAAATTGTAAGTAGCCGATGCCTGAACATTTTATTAAATTAATATAAAACGATAGGACTTCATAAATGTAATAGAATACAAATGAAAAACACTTGGCTTTTTCATTCATTTTTATATTAAAACGAAAACTTTTGCACGAATTGTACATGTGGAATCATAATGACATATGTATACACACGAACACACCGACAAACATTTACTCATAAACGCATATTGTAATGTACAAATTATGTTCAGTGCAAATAAATTATAATATTTTGCGATGCATAAGCGAAATAAAGCGCTAGTGTGCCCTCGACTCTATATTAGCTACATATTTTGAAAACTGTGAAAACGTCTGTGATACACATTCAATTCTGTATTGTGCGGCCATTACTGCAAGTCGAGTTATTATTATTATTACATTGCTTATCGACTTAAATCTCTGGTGCCGACGTGGCAATATATGATTGATCGTCGTATTGCTAAGGCAAGGGCACTCATTGGAAAGTTTCAGATCGGGAAGCACACGCCCGAGAGTAATGCGTTTTGTGAATCAGGCTTTTTCGAGAACCGGTATAAGCGCCTGTGATTATATGGCACGAGTCACAGAGCGCATTGACTTTCTTAAAGGTTTATGCGTGGAACCGTATGGAACCGTATAAAAATGATCGGAACGAAATATTCAGAATCGCACATTCCAAAGGGAAAAGAGGTGGGTTTATAAAAAGTGGGAGCTGCCTGATTTAGTGAGTTCAGGACATTTCCCAGATGTTAAAATAACTAATAAATTTTGGCGTAACATATGGTCAATGATTATCACTAACACCCTCTGTGAATGGATGCGAGATGTCGAACGATCGTGTGAGTCAATCAATACAACGGAGTCAGTATTAATTTCAGGCATTGACATAGACTGCATAACTTTTGGTTAAAGTGACTCCGTAGCTTACATGTACGTTTGACATCTAATTTTCAATCATGTCTAGAATCAGGTTCACTTCCATCTTTTATGACTACGGGAGTAATGCCTAATTAATACTCTATAAGTCTGGTAGTGCCACGTGTCACAAAAATTATAGGCCAATAACGTGTCTTTCGACATTATATAAATTACTAACGTCCATTCTGAGAGTGAAGATAACATCTCATATTACGAACAACTCTATTGTGTCTCACTCTCAGAATGGATGTACAGGTGGGGCACGTGGTAAAGATCTCTTTATTATTGACACGACTATTAACCACCAAGTTCGCCGTAACCGAAAAGATCTGCCGACGTGTTGGATAGATTATGAGTATAAAAAGGCTTATGACTCTGTGCCGCATACGTGGCTCTTGAGGGTGATGTAGTTGTACAAAATTGATACAACTCTATGCACTTTTATGTCGCCATGTATGCAGCAATGGAGAATAGTTCTTTACTATCCACGATGTCGGCAATCTCAAGGCGATGGCGAATATAATAATGATTAAACGGGGTATATTTCAGGGTGACAGTTTAAGTTCCTTGTGGGTTTTGCTTAGCTTTAAATCCTCTCAGCCCTATGTTGGAGGGTTGAGGGCTAGGCTATTGTTTGCAGAAAGGTGGTAAGGTTCTATCCCACCTCATCATTTAAAACAGAATTTTTCCTATAATTTCATACTTATAAATTTACTAGAAATAAGTAAAACCTTCAGTGAATGTATCAGGATGGAATTTGGTATAAATAAGTGTGCAATCAATTTAAAAATGTCATATATATGTATATTTAATGAAATAAAAATAATAATATCTTCACACATCTCACACACGGCCGTCTGATTCCAAACTAGACAGAGCATGTCCTACAGTAACCAGACTGCTGATAAACATACTTATATATTTCGAAATACATACATATTATAGATAAATTACACCCAGACACAGAACAAATCATCGTGCTCACCACACAATTAATTGACCCGGGTTTCAATCATATCACTAGATCAACAGGCCCGTCGATCCGACGTTGTCGCAACGCCCCGACAAGGCATTTAGAGTACGCATCGCAATAAAATAAGTACAAAGTACACAGAACGTCTACACCAAATCCAGCTATGGCCAGAAAGTCCTCCCATCAAGTCATCGAAGCCATACTGACACCACAGAAGACATCAGACGCCAACAAATATTACATGGTCGTAGCTAACTTTGTTAGCTAACGTAAAGAAGCCATAGAGGAGGTCACTGACATCTTAGGAATGTAAAAACTTACCTTAAAAAACGCCTTTTGCAAATTTATGAAGAATATAAGATGAGTCAAGTTGAAACATTGATATCAGAAGTAGATGTAGGTGACCAGAAACCTAGCCAGCTATTGCGGTGAATGAGAGAGCTTTCAAAGAGAAAAATAGAAGACTTTGTCATTCCGTGATGGCGATTTTGATTAAAATGCCGCGTAAATCAGGTGTCGTACTTTTAAAGAATTACTGAGACTACATTCTGATTTGAACATCTAATAATATTTATTAAAATAAAACAACAAAATAAATAATTATATTATAGAAAATATGTATTTACCGCTTTGCTCTCTATATTTTATAAGGCGTTTAGTTTATTAAATTTTTTTCTTAACAACCATACCGAGAAACTCAACTTAGTAACAAATTAGTAGGGAACGAATATTTTTTATAGTAATTACGAACTATTGTGCGAAGCGCAGATCAGTATCTCGCAGGTTGGCTGCTATCCACTGTTCAGCTTGCTGCTCCATCTCTTTATCAAAATATTCTCGCCAACCTCCTGATTTACCTGTCAAAAGAATATAACTTTACTATCCTGATGTTATCCGGAATGTTAATCCGATATTAAAAAAATAGACACTTTCACAAGTTTTTCTGTTATTTCTGCAAACTCTAGAAAGAGACTGTTCAAATATATTTTTTTGTTATAGAATGCGACTTTTTTTTTTTTTTTTTTTTTTCGACTTATTTTTTATTTTTTTATTTTATACTTTTAATCAAAATAATAAACATATAATAAGTTTTTTCAAGTCGTGACTTGCACATGTATTATATTTTATAGTTTTAATTAAGTGTAGTAAGTGTAAGGGTTGTATTAAGTCTCTTATTGCAAACATTATATTTGAGTTTATTATCGAATCAGTTGGCTGACTTCACTTAAAAATGGTTCTCTCTTATTTTGTCATATTTAAATACCTTTTCTAACAAACTGTTCGTCCGACGCAAGCAAGCCCAATTCTCTTAAACTGTGATAGTTTACGGCCTCGTTTTTACTAAAGTTTTCAATGCTGAGATGGTCACAGAGTTTGTTCATTTGTTCTATTGATACTTCTTTGCCAAGAAAATCAGCGATTCGTTGTATTGAGGCTGGCAAATCCTAAAACAACATATTCTATATGTGCATGCAGTTATAGAAAATTTGGAGACTAGAAGTTATGTAATTATTTTCTATCTATCTATCTAAGGGCAGAAAACTGGCAAAAATCTAGCAAGTTACGTAAGTGGCATAGAAACATATGCAAAGAGAGTCAATAGTTATAGTACAAGTTAAGAGGATTATTCCCATATATAGAACAGACTATTCTACTTTGGACACTTACTTTTACGAGTTCTTCGAAGAATAAAAAAAGCATGTTCTTGTGATGTCTAAGATTCCAAGCCTCTTTCATGTGTTCGAAGATAGGTGTCCGGTTCACTAAAACAAAAAAGTTGACTTTTTCTCGGTATAAACTAAACGCCTTGTGAAATATACAGAGCAAAGCTGTAATACATATTTTCTATAATATTATTTATTTTGTTGTTTTATTTTAATGAATATAATTGGATGTTCAAAGCAGGATTTAGTTTCAGTAATATTTTTAAAGTATGACACCAGATTTACCCGGCATTTTAGTCAAATCACCCCAAATCCAGCTATGCCTGCTGAAATTATGTACCTAATTTCTAATAAGACTCATTCTGGATATGCTCATTCTAAACTTACCTAAATCTTGAACAAATAATCCCCAAAACTCCTTGAATGTTCCAGGGAAATTCATAACTTTATATAGGCGATAGAGATGGTAAGAGGAGACTGCGACATCTCTAGGATCTCTCGCTACATATACTACTTTGGCAGTGTCGAGCAACCCAGGTGGTAACAGTGACAGCGGTATATGAGTCTTGATGTATCGAGGTGAAGGTAACGTCAGCAGTTTCCCTGTTATAGGCCTTGCTATACTTTCTATTAACTCAAGAGCTTTTCTTTTGTCGTCTGTACTTTGTAAAAAATCTTCTTCCCATTTTTGGTCAAAGTATGTAAAGAATCTGTAATGAGCAATGCAAAGTATACTGTTAATAGCTTTTTCTGGCAGCTTCGCTCACATTAAAAGATATTTACATTTTACATGTCTAGTGGTTAGTGACCCTGACTGCTAAGCCGGAGGTCGTGGGTTCGATTCAGACCCAGGACAAATATTGTGTGATGAGCACGGTCATTTGTTCTGTGTCTGGGTGTAATTTATCTATAATATGTATGTATTTAAAAATATATAAGTATGTTTATCAACAGTCTGGTTACCATAGTACAGGCTCTGCCTAGTTTGGGATCAGACTGCCATGTGTGAGATGTGTGAAGTTGTTATTGTTATTATTATTATTATTTAAAATATAACAGTTAAAATAATTCAATAAATCTTTAAAGTAGGTATATCGTAAAGTGGTCAATGTTTTATTCCAGACTTTAATCTACATCTGTACCAAGTATGTACATAGAAATCCGTGCAGCCGTTCTTGCGTAACTCAGTGACCAACGATCATCCTACCAAACTTTCGTATTTATATACGAGTAGTAATGTATAGTGGTTGTAAGATTGAATAGGTATTATACTAAGCAACCAGAAAAACGTTACCCAAAATAAAAGTACGCCAAGCAATCGCGGTCACACTGAAAGTTAAGAAAAATAAAAAACGGAAGCCTGTTAATTTTTTCATTGTTTGAAGCAGCAGTAAGCACACTCTTTTTTAGGGATTTCTTACACGCATTGTTTAAACGTAGCCACAGTATCTTCAGTGTTCATAAAACGAATTCCTCGAAATTTATCTATTATTTTTGGAAACAAATAAAAGTCGGGATTGCAAGAAGGATTATGACTCACTAGCTCCACACCTTGGATAGACAAATATTCGATACTCCGTCTGTGAGCTGTGTGTGAGCTGGAGTGTTGTCGTGGTGGAGGAAGACCCTGTTTCTTGAGCGCTGCTGTCTAACATTTTCCAAATCAACTGATAGACAATGACTGCCATACAAATCTACAGTAATAGTCCTTTTATCTTTTAGAATGATTATTGCGAAATGACCCGTCCATCCAAAGAATGAGGCAATCATCTTTTTTCTTTGACCTCTGACCCTGCTTACTTTTGTCGGCAAATCTTCGAATGGAAACATCCATTGCGCGGAGTGTCTTTTGGTTTTAGGTTCGTAGCAATAAATTCAACTTTCATCACCTGTGACGATATCATATACAGCATTCGAGCCAGCTCCATCATAATTTTCAAACATTGAGCGGTATCAATCCAAACGATGGTGTTCCGTCAAATTATGAAGTATCCATCTGGTACAAAGCTTTCACGTCACATGTTCATGTAAGACTTATTGTACACATTTGGGCAGCTTTAGACATTGGTATGAGACCAAGCCGCACATCATTCACGTTATCTTCAGTAGTTGCCGTAGAAGGACGTCCTTCTTATGAATCATCGGTGAATTTGCTTCGACCACGTTTAAACTCCTTAAACAGTGGAACGAGATGGGGCTTCGTAATCAAATGCCAATCGAAGTCTATCCTTACATTGTTGTTGAGTGAGACCGTAAAGTATGTCTTACGACTGTAATTAAATTTATTAGTATTTAAATAATTCATTGACCGAAAATTTTCTCTAGTCAAATCCATTTAGATGCACGTCAGACACTTTTTAAATTGCCGCCAGTTTGTAAAAACAAATGAGATATGAAATCATTAAACACTTCTAGATTCTCAGTGTCTAATTCGAAATTTAAAAAAAAAACATCGGCTGCTTTTCTTACTGGCCTATTCTTAAGTTACATAAAAGTTATGATATTTTGACATAACCTAAATAGCTAAAAAGAAAATTCAAGCTTGATGATATACGACTACATCAGTAAAACTAGATTAAGGCATGTACATTCATACATGTCACATAATAATATGCCTACTGCTGTACATATCTCTGAATTGCTGGTCACTGAACGCTAAAGCCGACTGAATATTATATATTGTGGTTTTTTTTCTTACTGTTCTATTATTATCTAACAAATGTTGCTTGTAAACGAGCAAACCGTGTTATGATAAGAGATAACAAACTTTTTTTTTAACAAAAACAAAGTTGTATCGCCAAGGTGAAGTGATTATTTCAGAAAATGTTTATACTTAAATAGTTTTTTCACACTCTTAAGGCGCCAAACAGCAAATCGACTGTTCTGGAAAGCTAGTCACTAAGATTATTAACTATAATGTTTATTTCTCAGCGCATTTGTCTAAAAGATCAAATTTACTTAATTAAGTGATAATATTTATATACATATGTATCTGTATGACCACTTACTCAAGAAAGGGGAACCTTTCATGGAGGGCTTTAGCTTTCGCTTCTGCATAATCAAAGTTGTTGTCCAATAGCCAAACTATTTCTTGAGTCATTGTTGTACCTTTAACATATACAATAGACATAATTACAAGAATTTCAAAATGGCTGTTGTATAAGGCGATTAACTTCTGTCACCACAGTTTAGATTTGTCACTTATCTGTAGTACCCTATTTATTATATATGTACCTATCAAAGAAATTATTCATTAAATTAATTAAAACCATCATCGTATTAAAATACATTTGTATCTTAAAGTATAGTTTGATCACTATTTTCTGTAAAATGAATAATAAGGTCTGTCATCAAAATGCAAAATATCACCGTTTGTATGGGGAATCGATAACCACTAAAACCCGATTCAGATGAAATTTGGTATGGACATAGTTTGATTCTTGACAAAGGACATAGGCTACTTTTTACCGCGATAACCGACATACACGCGGGCGAAGCCGCGGGCAAAAGCTAGTATTATATATATCTAAAAATACAATTGATCTTTTGTGTTTATGGTATAGGAGGGCAAGTCGGGCCACCGTCACGTAGTAAGTGCTTACGGTCGCCCATCCATTAATCGAATTTGTATGAAAACGAGACTTATAACATTTTCAAGGAAATACATAAAAATATTGACTTTTTACACTTTATCTCTACTTAATTGGTGGTAAAGGTGTTTGGGAGTGACATGGGGTTAAAAAACATAAACGCTTAGTTGCACCGTTTCAGAGATATGGCGAATAAGATGGTAGCTAGATTAGGTTAGAACAACGAACATGACTAGAACCGAACTGCTTGCGTTGTATTTAGTAGTTAAACCAAATCCTCTAGCTTATAGAAAATGAAACGGTAGGTTAAGTTAGTATTGAAAGTATGTTTTTTGCGATTACTATGTTATGGTCATGTTTTGGAAAAAATATATTCATGACCACTCAGATTTCTTCGTGCCATTTTATGTCTTGAGAAAGAGGATCAATCATTAAAAAAGATGACTGTTTACTATTTACCAGCGATAAGAAATACATTTTTAAGTAAACTTCTTCACATTACTCAGTCATTCAATTTTACATACACTTCTATTACTTTAAATCCCCATACAATTATTTGATATTATTTCCAAGTAATTTTTAATAAATATGTAAGTTACCGTTTTGATATTATTTAGTGATTCAACTTTTCAATTCAAAAGAAATATTATTTTTAGACCATTGAAAATACATTCAATTGGTGATTAATAAACTCATACACGTTGTGTAAATGTTATATTAGTGAGACGGAGAGAAAAACAAACGCGGGCGGTTTGCTATCACCTCATAACTATTAATTTAAAAAAAATATGATTCATTTAAAAAAACAGCCTAATAATAATGTATATACATATTTACGCTCGTGCTTGCATCGACTATAACAATATATAAATCATTCTAGATTTTTGTCGTCGAAATCTAAAATTGGAAAATTGAGAGTAGCTACATTACTAGGTGGGGAAGATAGCATTGGAAGGAAAAGGATAACGGTCATACAGATGGATTGGGGAGTCTTAGCAATAGCTCTAGTTTCGAAAAAGGTGTGTTTACCCTTAATTAAACACATTACCTTTGAATGTCAGACCATAACACAAAGCAATGACAGTTTTTTTGTGTTAAATAAATTGTCGAATATCTTTTTCGAATATAATATAAACTTATTCGTGTTTTAGGTTCATTTATTACATTCCTTGAGGTAAAACTACATCTACCAATACTAACATACAAATTACCTGAACGTTGATGTGAAATCACAAATATGTCACTGCTTCTCACTGGCATATTGTAAATGTTTGCAGCATCTTGGCAGTAAGTTCGTAACTGTTTATACTTCTTCGGACCAATGCTTACAAAGTCAAATTTGTGATCAGGTTCTGATGCTACAATATATAAAAATTTAATAAGTTATCGAGTGTTTATTCTTGCACTTGTCGGGATGATCGATATATCGGGCATTCAAAAGATGTTCTTTTTTTTAAAGACTATACCGCGACACTGAATAACATTTGTATGTCTAAATGTCTTACTAAATCTAATATTAAGTTTTATATTAGATAGAAATTATAATATGTAATAGCAAAACCTTTGCTTCCTTATGTGTGTTTGCTTGTGTTATTTGATTGTATTTCTCCTAACCCTAGAACTAGAACAGGGGTGCTGGAGTACCCCATACTAAAATGTCTTTGATTCTTTAAATAAATAAAAATATTTTAGTATAAATAAAATGTAAAATTAATTTTAGTTTGAACACTTTGCACAAAATTTTTATTTAATGCTCTAAGCAAATAGATATTTTACACCTTTGGCACGTTATTCTAGTTTTTCTGTTCTTGGACCTTGGACGAAAGCCACAGCATCCTTGAACGCGGAAGAACAGTCCTTTCAGGATCTTGCGTTTTTTGAGGATCATTCCAAAAGATTCTTATACTTGATGTAAACTTTGAGTTCAAAGAATACATCAAGTAATAGTCCTCCAAAAGTTTGAGAATGGATCTAAGCCTAATTTTTTCAGAAATGTACTCTGAAAGTTTGTTTTACTTGTTATTTACTTTTGAATACTTGAAGAGAATCCAATAAAAAATTTTGACTGCATTCACTACCCCATAAAATAACACATGGGCCAAAGTTTTAGTTTGCACTGAGGCGCACACGTACCCCACAGCGCTTATACAAGTGATCACAAGACGCGGCTATCGCCGCCAGTGCTTACGAATCGCGAGTGGTCAACACAAAACAAATCGGTCTGGGGTGTAGGATTCTAGGATTAGAAAATGTTTTAACGTAAATTTTAAGGATGTACATGATGACAGATCATCGCGTTTAGTTACTAGTCGTATATATATAATTTACAACGTAACTTACTTTTGTAAGCTTTAAGTAACTTCGTTTTCTCTTCAGGTTCCAATTCCTTAAAGTCGTAAGGAAAAGACAGATTTGCTTCGCCCATGTTCATTTACAAGATGAAATTAGAAAAACTTTTACGTAATACATACACGATATGTGATTTACAACTGAAGTTGTATTTCATAATATGGAGACCAATAAATGTTATTCAAATGGCTCTTGACCCTTTATATTCGTGATAACTTTCTTATCGAAATATGAATAACATCTAATTTCATTCAAATACCACGAGAAAATACAGCGATAAATCTTTATAAAGAGGAAGGTCTATATTTTTCTGTGATTTTCTCAGATATATATGAAATAAAATAATAAACTAGAAAATAGTTCATTCGTGTAGAGGTAGATATGGAGTAATATTTTATTAAATATTCTTTTATCCAGCTTACTTCTATCCAACATTAATTACAACAAAAAAACGCAGGTCTCAAAGAAATTATCAAAATACTTAAAGATATTGATGTTGATGCCTACTATAGCGTGGTCACGAAGCAGGAGGAATTTCGTGCAATAACTTTTGTGCCACTGCCAGTGGCGAAAAACAATTTTATTTAAAGTGCTAGTGAGACTATAAAATTAAAAAATATATTAAATATGAGAAATTTAATTTATATTTGTGTATTAGCTAGTTACTTTAATATTATATTATGTTTATATGAATATACTGTCCTTAGGTATTTACAAAGTCAACGCTATAGTTCTTAACTGTGATACTAATTCCTATCAATTTAAAGGTCACCTTTGGTCTAGTTAAAAAACACTTTGTAATGGTAGTTAAAAAACACTATACAGAATGAAATATCTCATAACATTCGACAGTTCTTGCAGTGAATTTTTACGGTGAAAGAACCATTAAATATATTATTCCCCGCCTAATAAATAATTAAAATCCTTCCTTTAGACAAAGTATAACAAAAGTAAATCTTAAACAAAATTGAAAACACATTTCGTGAACAGCCTGTAGATTCCCTCTGCGAAACCTGTTTCACTTTGTTTGCCCGGGAATAAGTGTCCGTCTGCTCGTAAAGATTATGTTTTGTATTCTACTCTAAACATAATACTATTGTTACGAGCGGGGTATATATTAAATAAAAGTTGTCGGTTAATAACTGTATTTCACTGTATTTACAAACACTCACAACTAGGAATCACTATGTATCTTGTTAGTCGCACTAGAAATTCACTCCGATGTTAATTTGTTGTGTCGAAACTGTGTCGAATGGCCAACACGCTTCTCTTTTATTGCGCTTTTGAATTTTCTAGAAAGTTCCTAGTATTCGACAATCCGTTTTAAACAAACAGGAATATTCCAGAATCAGTCACGCGTTACTTGCAGCGCCATCTAGCGCAGTAAGGATCAGAACTACTCGTATTAACCACAATCTTAATAGATCATATTTCATACAATCACAAATTTAAAAACAAATTTAGTTATTATTTTAATTGCTTAAGTTATTTACTTAATAATTGTTATGTACTTAATTGACTTTGTATGACGTTTAATGCCGCTTACACCTCAGTAGTATCGTCAGTGTAGTAATGTAAATAAATAAAAAATTATAATTACTTTTCAGTAAAGTTAAACGTAATAATTATTTGTGAAACATAATAACATTATTATTTTGGTATTACTTATTTCAGAATAGTATAAATTTAATGGAAAAATGGAGTAACTTTCCATTTGAATATGAAAAGCAATGGCAAGGCAAACCAAATATCCCATGTACAAAAGCAGCTTATTGTAACGCCCAAAAGGCTTACATTCCCTATACACAACGGTCATGGCATAGGTGCGAACGCGACGGTAATAGATTTAATAATAATAATATTTTTTCGCTGCAACCTACGTCTCATCATTAATATTGTAATAAACGCAAATCATTTAGAATATATACATATATATATATACAAAAAATCTGTTAGAATTTATGCAGTATATATACAATATATGTATACAATTATACTCGTATCAATATTTCAAGACAAAAAGAAGTTTAATTTGATAAACCTACAGTTTGTCAAATATCAGACAGGAGGTTCTTCACCCGGTTGAATTTTTAATTTCTTACCATTTACCTCCGTAATTTATGAACCGATTTTAAAGAAATATATCACCACATTGAAGTTGGTGATACTATTTATAGTTATGTTTTCTCAAGTTTCTTTCTTGTGTAAAACTCAAAAGGGTTGACTGATTCCATGTAGCTGTATTATCAACTTACTGTACTTTACAGTAAGACGATCCTCCATCACTCAATTCTATCGATGGACTATAGATATAGGTACATACAAGATAAATGCGTTCCGGGTAACGATTGTCCTGCAATGCGGCCCGACCGTTGTGTCACGGTACAATTATAATACAGTAGTGTAACTCGGCCGCATGATAGAAATAAATGCCTACAGCCGCGCGGTACGTAAACATGCGTTAGGGCTGCCCGTCTCCAGCATTTTAATTATATTTGCCTACTTTCTGTTTCTATTTAGATTTGTGATTGTAAATATCCTTTTTATATAAATAAATGAAATACTTTGTATATTGAATAGGAATTGTTCAATAAAAATGCGTGTTGTTTTTTGATTGGTAGATTTAATTAAAAAAACATGTTTTTGTTTGAAAAACAAATCGAGCTTATAAATTTGCGACCGAAAAAAATCCTTCTATAAAATAAAATAAATGTGCTTTCTCCTTACGCGTTACAAAACTCCAATTCTTAAAAACTGCAACACCTACCTACTCAACTAGAATGCAAGAAACAGCTGACGAGTAAGTAACTTTTTATCTCAGCTTATTAACGTCTCTATAAATTTAGGTACCTACCTACAACTCGCAACAACTCAAAACAAAAATTCTTTGGTCACCAAATAATTAATTATTAAAAAGCTGAACAGCTGACTACAAATGTTTTAAAATCACAACCCTCAAACATCTAAATATTATATATGAGTCTAGCTGTTGTTGTTAATACCGAGAAAATAAAACCAGTTTTTAGTGGTATATGTTGTTATAGTAGCAGCAGAAACACTGTGAAAATTTCGAAAACTGTCTAATGACACACAGACGGTAAAAATTTTTTAAATACCACGTCTTTACTTTGAATTATGCAAAGTAACAAAACACACATGCACCGAAGTTTTAACACAAGCGTAAGTAGGTAGGTACCTACCGTATCATGATTCATTCAGAACCGCATATAACTCCCTATTTCACTCGTCTCAATAACTTTCCGTTACTCTATTTGCTTTATTTATTCATCCAAACACCTTTTTTTCGTGAGATAAAAGGAAATACTTATCCATTAAAAAGACACACATTATGTACCTACCTACTAGTTAGTAAAATTATTTTATAGTTTTACCTTTCAGAGTTTCCAGGTAATTTAAAAAAACTTATGTCTGGATGCTTTATTGACGAATTCATACAACCAAAAACAGCACAATATTTCCTACTCGTCATGTTAACTGATTTTTAGAGAAAAAATCGCGCGGTTATTGTTAAAAAAACAACACACAGTCGGTTCGACACTGCGGTACAGACTGTCTGCGCCCCGAGCGCACCCCGAGATCGAGGCGCGTAGGTATAGCTCGCGTTTCGTCCGTTTGTATGAAGTTGGAGTACTGTATTATAATAGTACCGTGGTTATGTTGAGCATGTCAAGAATAAATGTTTTCTCCGTCCCTACGTCTTGTTAAGAAGATGTGACATGCGAACACATCGCATCTTCTTCACGAGTAGTAGCGTAATAGTCGTTAAACAGTTTTCAGAGCACACATTATGAATTTGCCCAACGTTGTATTTAGGTATACTTAACAAAGACACGCTTCTCTAAAACATTATTTTGATGAATAACCACTCTTCCTCGTACTCAATAAACCTTATTTAACTTATATTGCACGGTGCCAATTACCAACAGTTATATTTATCTAGAACTTGCCTCTCTTTCTATTATTCTTCTTGAATTGATTCTTATCTCTTCTGACGATATTAGGGTTGTCTGGATTTACGGGTAAGTGGCAGCCTTATGTATTTGCCCCACAAGTTAAGGCCGAGGCATACTTGTACCTAATAACTAAAGAGTTGAGTGGACTAAGCCTGCTTTAGGTTTACTATTCATTGCTAATTAACTTGTTTAATAATCTATTCACTACAATAAAATCTAATCCAAGGGAGTCAGATCGATGCTAGTTAAACACCAAGGTCCAGTAACCAATCACATCCTTATTTTACATTTCGCAATACTTGTCTCACATTTCGTAAAATGGCAATAAAGGAAATCCGTTTTATTAAACTACGTTGCATTTATAAGTTAAGTCTCGTAATAAGCTAGAACTGAAGATGTAACAAGAAATCAAAGGGCACAAGTAGAGATCATTTACTTTGACAGAATCCAATAACCCTTGAAAATCCTTGGAAAACACTAACGCAAATAGAATAGTGTATAACGATAACCTCTTACAACGATAGCCTGTTATTAAATTGCCTAAATAAGTAAGTGTTTGGTGAAGATCTCCTATGGCAATATCAGGAAATTTAATTATAAAATGATTATGTATGTTTCAGGAGACGTTATATTTCAATCACAGAAGTGGCAACACTGGTTTTGCGACTGTTAATAGGCATCAGTTTTATCACTTCACCATCAATTCAGAGGATCACTGTCTTTGGATCGTCTCACACACAATCAAATCAAGTCAACAGTGGCATTAAAGACTTTAACTCTCATACAATTTTATTAATATTCAATTTAAAGGTTACATACCTACATCTTTATCTGTCTGGTCCCATTATATCTAAATGTATTGGGGCCGACCTTTCTGATTGCAGCGGAAATTCCACATTCCCTCGGCTACTTAACAGTTGTTGAACTGCTTATTTTGTCTGAGATAGAAACTAGTTAAGTGGATTTTTCTGAAATAAAAATTAAACACGGCTGTGTATAAACAAAATTTGCACAGTATTTTTACAGATCCTTTCTTAAATTACTAAGTAGTAACCGTTTGCAAGTTACCTGGCTATTGACAGTCAACCTATGGTCACTATAGCACGATAATCACAATTTTTCTCTCTGTGAGGAAAATAAGTTTTTTGATCGACTGTTTATTTACTTAAAACTATCAGTCAGATTTGAATAGCTTTTATTGGATATAATATTTGTCGATGAAGGTTGTATGCGTCACTATGGCCATATATTTCAACGCTACGAGACATAAAACTCTAACTGCACGGATGGCGTAGTAGTTTAAGCGCTCACCTCGCCGCTTCCTACTTGCGTTGAGTGTTGTGGATTCGATCCCCCCATGGGGCGACACATTGTGTGATCTACAAATTGTTGTTCTCTGTCTGTGTGCTCTTTGTATCCGTTTCATGTATGTTTGTAAAGTCCCCCGCGATAAGGATTTATTCCTAGTACAGGAGTTGTCCAAACCAACCAAACCAAAATCCAGGATAAATCGGCTAGTATTATAATGTGTTCAACCTCATTCAACTTGCCCTTATAATTAAGTTAAATATGTATTTCAAGCTGGCAAGCACGCAAATCCTTTTGCGTGCTTGCCAGCTTGTAATAAGATAAACCATGCGGGTAGTGCATGTGCATGATTGTAAAATTAGGCGTATGAATTTGAGGTATAAATCAACAAAGATAGAGGCCAGCCTTCTACTTTTTTATTGGTTTGGGGTATATATAATTATATACCTCAAACTTCCTGACAATAACTAGTTTAAGTTACAAGTATACGACCTTGACCTCGAGCTATTGCACAAACACCTTATTCATAAGTATAAGCAACATCTTCTTCATTCTTTATCATTCCCTTACATATTAATCTGATATTTTCAAATTTCTCACATTATGTTAATTTCTCTAATTAACAAAATGTAGATGTTGTTTTTCTTTAACTGAAATTCTTTACAAACATTTTTAGAATGAAAATTTAACATTTTTATGTTTAACGTGAGAAGAATTATGCTTATCTTAATATCAGTCATTTGCCAGATCTCGAAAAAGCAAGATGAAGAAATGTTTCATATGTATAGTACAATAAATATCTTCAAGAAGGAACCAGCCCATAGAAGAAATATGGGTTTTGCTTATCAGTTAAACTCTTTAAACTGCATGGTAGTGTGCATCTAATCACTCTGTAAACTGCAAATCTACATAGAATCAAGAAACTCCAATTAAAAATAAAACAAATTAAAATTAGAAGATTATTTACTTATAAATAAGGGAAATAATAAATTAGTTACATGGCAAACTTATGGTAATATAAATTAACTACACATGAAGCAGAGATCGTTGACTATGAACTAATTACTTCTGGCGCAGGCGCAGGTTGAACTTCTAAAATTAGCACTTTTTGATCTGCTTCTTTCTTAACTTCAGAATCACTAATGACTTTGACTGGTTCTATATCTTTGCACATAAGAGTGACAGAGTCTCGTACACGGTCAGGGCCACAGTTTTCTGTCGCACCTAGAAGCTTTAAGTCATCTTGTTCAGCGTCAGGTCCATCATTTCCAAAGCGGCGTCTACCCGCGATCACAACTTCCACAGCTCGTCCATCGCTTTCTCCAGAACTTTCATCTGATCCAATCTCAACCTTGTATGGTTTACTTGGCTCGACGAATGCTTCCATCACCCGAACATCAGCTCTGTCTTGAATCCCCTCGTGTTCCTCATTTGCAGGCTTACCACTCTTAGAGAAGATATCGAACACGCTGTTGGGAATCTTTGATGGTATGGCGAAGAGAACCATCACATTAGAAATATCGACTTGGGCATTAAACTTGCCATCTTGTCGCTGGTCGTATAATACGGGCCCGGCGGCCGCAGTAGCAAACAAAAAGGCGATAGTTAGGAGCATGGTGCGTGCGCGCGATAGATCTCCGATGCGCTGACTGCGCGCCGCATGCTCCCGCGCCGCTTTTACCAGCCACCAGCGAACCAGTCCGGCTCTCGAAACGAGAACACTGTAACGGTTAATACGACATGCATATTGTGTGGACCTTATAGGCGGACGATGCACAAGTATAAATAAAGTCTTTAGTGTGTCAGGGTTACGAAATTTCTAGGACTATAGACTGAAGATCTTCACATCTAATTATATATACATATATATATATATATATATATATATATATATATATATAAGTACTCGATGATAACAACAACAACAACGCACAACAATAAATTGATTTAATTTCAGTCGATTCTTAGAACAGCCCGGCGGTTTAAATCATAGACCAATTTTTTAACGAATTACCAGTCGAATTGAAAATAAATTGCACATAGTGGCTTAATGCTAGATTAAATATTATGAAACCATCTTATAAGCAGATAAATTTCACAAAACGTGAGGAAACGACATAAACTTGTAATAAGAAATAAGTTTACAATACAGCAGCACAAAGTTCTGGCTTTCTCTACAACATCACTATTATATACACAATTGGATGTTTATTTTTCTAAAATTAAATAAAGAATAAGTAGTTTAAAACTATACAAATATTGAAACCTACACTTACGTTAGGTTGCTGCTTGCTGTCACATCAATTGACATATTTTACATGGCTCGAGTTTTTGCTATGATAGTGAATGTTTACTATACCTAACTAAACGGGGTCACGAAGCGGAATAACAAGATTTCAGAGTAGAATGGTGCCCTAGATTCGTGGATACTCCACACATAAATCTACAAAATAGATGACAAATGACGCGTCGGGGCTGATGGTGGAGCCGTGACCAGGGTGCATGAAGAGCACTGACACTGCGAAACGGTCATTGTTACGACAACCGAGTTTTGTCTCCATCCTCGATAAATGCTCTGATAGTGTTTTGCAATTTATTCGATTTTGTTCCGTTACTTTACTCGTATGTTTGGTTCGTGTGTCCACTGATTACGATAGGACACTGTCCTATTGTAATCTGTACCATTTCTGGAATATCTGAAATTAAATACTTTTTGTAGATAAGCTTTCACTTTTTTCTTTTTACTATTTTTCGTGACCGGAAAAATAACAAATAATTAACTTTCGCATTCTATGCCATATAATTATGTAATAAGAATTACATACCTGAGTTGCGCACAATATTATTGCGAACAAAGTTCTTCATTCCGTAGGTGCTATTCCCTACAGAATAAAGAACACTGTGCCCCTATGCAAAACGTGTGTTGTTAACATAGTGTTGTTTACATATAGAATAGGCACATCAAGTGCAATCCGAAGACCAATTCTCGTAAAAAAAGTTCGGTCACAATTCAGTTCCGATCCAATTCACAACCAATACCAATACTAAACCTCATCCTCTCTTTCATAATAAGAACTTTAAACACCCAAATAGACGTTTTTAAATTATTAACCAAGTCTTAGGCAGAAACTTAGTATTCTACCGTATGACCAACGTCTGTTCGCGTTGACACTCCTCGAATAGGAAAGCACCTGTGACCTCGATCTCAAAGAAAGCGTCAGTTAAACAAAAATATCTTAATAGTGTCGCATTTTAACTATATAGCGACACCAAAGGTGTAGCTTACACTTTCGTGATTCGATAGCCTTCAGGAGCAGCACTGTAGTTCGTGATGAAAGAACCCCGTTCCAATCTCCCTTTCTGCACCTCTGTCAACGTGTAACCAAATTTCATGATTATCGATTAATCACTTAAGATGTAACATAGTAATAAGCAAACATTTAGCTTTGGAATACTCATATTTAGCATAAATTGACAACATATATGTATAGGAGAACTATCCTGAAAAACATGTGATGAAAAAGTTATTTCGTCTATTTATAATGTTGATTGATGGCACTTGATGGAACTTGCTACACATATTAAATTAAGTCACTAGCACGATCCCACAATTTCTTTTTACAAAGGGTATTATAATACCCTTACTATATAATACCCTTTGAAAATGCCGTTAGGCGAAACCGATCAGGTATAATATAATAAATATTGTGGACTAATACCAGTGACTTAATTCAAAAAGTTTTTTCTTTCACAAAATGTGCATTTATTTGTTATTTTTAGTGTCAACCCAATCGATACCAGGATTTGTACTTAGCCTTGCCGTTAAATTTTCAAATCCCTATTCTTAGTGTCAAGATAAAGTTGCTCTATTAGAATTAAAGTATACATACAGTATAATATACCTATTCGTAAAAAATAGTTAATTTTCACATTGTCATCATAAAGTAAAACGTGATTGGCTGACTGACGCTTTTCTGTTAGGTATTGTCTTTATATGCTCATAAGGAACGTCCGACAACAGCTCACATCACATCATCATCAACAGCCTATAACAGTCCACTGCTGGACTTAGGCCTCTCCTTAGAAAGGAGGTTTTGGCCTACTATACCACGCTTTCCAGACGGGTTTGTTTCAAGTTTTCCTTCTCTTTGCCGTGCTGTTGTCCTGCGTAGTTTGCTCCCTTCATCATCAACAGCCTTTAATAGTCCATTGCTTGACATAGGACTCTCCTCAGAAAGGAGGTTTGCTCCCTTAGTCGGCTCTTACGACACCCATGGGATGAATAGGGGTGGTGACATTCCGTATTTTTAATCCGTCACCACACGGACAATAGCTCATTAGCCCAAGACCATGTAAGGTAAAAATAAAAGTACTTACTTATAATAAAAGTACCCGAAGATATATTTTAGTAAATATGTTGTCTATGCTTTAACGGTTATTGAAAAAATAACTGCCAAAGGAAGTGTCAACCTCACTTGACCTAAACCTCATTTCTAATGTAAAAGTTGTCTCGAATTTCTAGACAAAAACAGTTTTATACATATTATTACTCGTATGTACGTTTCATTACAGTGACTAAGAAACGGCATTAAAAGAGTTAAAATGCAAACTTTTCTTCATTTTTGTATAGACCGCAGAATAATAAAAAGTTTGACTTTTTAATATTCTGCGGTCTTTTACTGTAGAAAATTTAATTAAAAGCCTTTAATTAAAGCATGTTCTTATATGAAAAGCTGTCTAAACATATATGTAGATCTTAATTATTAGGAGGGTTGCATTATATGCAGACTTACTGTTTTGATAACGGGTAAAGAAAATATAAATCCAAATCGATGGGAAAACTGCACTACAAGGAATAATTTGTTAAGCACCATTCGATGTCCTTTAATTTTTGTTTTTTTTTTTTAATTTTATTACTTTTATTTTACACATAAATACCAGGACATACACATTAGCACCTGTATCCTGAAGGTATATATAATGTAGTATGAAGACAGAGAAGCAAATGTATATTTAATATCCCCTTGGTATTGGTATTGGTTGTGGGGTCCGATTACCACATTTAGACTCGAGAGTGGTCCTTTATGCGTCTAGAAGAGGTTGCCTAGGTGAGCCAACCACGCTTCTTCTAGAAGCGCAGAAGCCTCCTGTACGTTCACAGGCTTCTAAGAGCGATTTAGTACAAGGTGTGTAATCCAAATGTTGGTAACTATAATCCCAGTCACGAAATTGAGGGCAGGTCTATGCCGAATTAAGGAATGTGTAAAAAAGTAATAATTAACATGTATTTAAAAATGTGTTTAAAAATAACTATGACCTGACACAAATGTTTTAAGATTCCAGATTACTGAAACAATTTTTAGCAATAATTATAGTGTATTTTCATGCCGACCATATAATTATTATGTTCCTAAAACATATGCAGTACTAACAATATTTTATTTTTAAATAGGTTTGTTTTGAAACATTGGAAATGCTCTGGTTAAGTCGGGCGAAGGATCCGAGCTTTAAAACTAGAAAAGTTGAACCAAGACTCATATTCAGGCTAAAGTGTTGTTATCAAAACAAGGCACACTAGTTTTGTAAACTCCTTAGCTTTGTCACAGACTTACTCATTTATCATCATTAAAATTCTAAGATTGACCTTTAAATCTAGAAAAAAAAACTTCACTACTATGGTTCTGATTCTTAGATATAAAACTGTATATTAAGTAGTACGGATTATTTAAAATCCTATATAGTAAGTTACGAATATACGATTACAGTGCTACTTTTCCGTTTCGTTAAGGTACATATATTATTATATACTGTATAAATAGCTACACGAACTAAAAGAAACAAGAAAAATGGAATTAACTTAATTCTACATTCTTGCTGCCATCAGTAGAACCTTAGGTAAACTTTGTTGAAAAAAATGTATGTTAAGAGTAAAGTTACAGTTTTTATTAATTATTTTATTATATTCGGAGAATATTACACAGCTTGGGTACCTAGGCCCAAAATAAGCAGCGTTTGTCTCAGAACGTGGACAAACACATTAATATACCTAATTTTTTTTGATATATTCATGCACCACTACAAAAAGACATATTCATCAATACAAATGTTTGCAGTGAGCAGGAATCAATGGAATGCTCAGACGCTGCGGCCAAGATGTCGTCAATAATATTGACATTGTAAATCTATCAACTTGTAAGTTTTTTATTACTTACACAAACCGTGATTAAAAAGCGACGATTGTCTGTGGAATTGCTTTTCACGGATATAAATTTCACGAGTGAGTTCTAACCATATTTTTTAACATTTACAAATTCTATCAGATTGCCTGATCAGTTAAGTGGGATCGTGTCATTGCCCTGTGACTGTACGTACAACTCACAGCAAAAACTTGTAATGTCTTTTTGTGGCTTTACGTGTAAATTATCAACCGTTACTAGTTGAAAGGAAATACCAGATCAAATAACTACCGTGATCGACGGTTAACAGAAAATCATTTTACATTTTCTTCAAGCCTTTCAAGTTTTTGTCTTAGGTCCTGCTATAAGTTACAAAATAAAAGAATTCTCTTCAGAATTTAAAAAAACAATGAGCTAGGGTTTTTTCAATAAGAATTAATGTTTATTTTCAACGAAACAATGTACAACTTAATATACGACTTATTGTACTAATAAATGCAGCATTTCTTGGCTAAATATACTTACTTATTTATATATTAGTCATTATATTTTTATTTATTACTTAAAAGTCCATAATAATATGTAAGATGTTAATTGATCACAATTTGTTCACTTGTTATTGATGGCGTGTTTTCCTCAAGAGTGGCATCAAGAAGGCTGCTAGGCGATTTTTCAGTCTGTGGAAGAGGGAATTTAATAAGTTGCTTAGATTTAAACTTGTACATACAGTTAAAAATATATCTATTTTACTACATGCCTGGACCTAGGTATATACTTTAAAATATTTGTGTCCCCTTTAAGGATTACAAATCTAGCGAGACATTATTTTGACTTTAATCTGACATATGAATTATTTTAACTTCTTATTATTTTTGGAACTTCTTGTTATTAATAAAGAGGGATTTTTACCTGAGGGTTCTCATGATGACCTGGGAATAAGAGAAAAACATAGAATATATCAGTTGCTCTGCACAAGTCCGCCGAGAAGAAGGATTACCTACTTCATTTCTCGACATTAACAGATCATCGACCTCTTTTTTAAAACACAAATTCAAACTTAACGCTTTTCCTAAAATTTTCGAAACTACAAACATTTATAAACAGTGAACAGTCTCCAATGCTTACCTTTTAGCTTTTTCTTGTTTTTTTGTCGAAACTTCTTTCTTCTGGACCTTCATGTCTTCATTCAAGCTGACATCACTGAGAGGCGGAAGTTCAGCGGGCTTGGCAGGGACCTCCGGCTTTGGCTCCTCAGGTTTTATCTCTTGCGGTTTTTCTTTCAAAGGCTTCTCTTCTGCGGGCTTTTCTTGTGCGGGCTTCTCTTCTGCGGGCTTATTTTCGACAGGCTTCTCTTGCGGCTTCGGCTTCTCGTTTTCCGTAGATGTCCACGACGACGAGGACGATTCCGTAGGTGGTTTTGGTTTATAATCTCCGTTGTAGTCTTCTATTGCCAGAAGGTCCATGAGGTCATCTATATCTCCAAAAGCAGACAACAGGGACTCAGCAGGTGCGACAGCAACGACGACGCCATCGATGTTGAGTCTGTAATTCTCTGAACCATTCTGTCTTTGATCGTAATGGTTCTGCGTGCAGTCAGGTGTAGGCGCTGCGTTTACAACCGCCACTAACACGCTGAGGAGCGACAAAACCCGTCTGTAGTTGACCATCGCGGAAAGTGTCTGTAGACGTACTGAACTTCGGCTGCGGCTGTGGGACCCGCTATGTATCCGTACTCCGCTGCATCTTTTATTTATTTGCCCAGATAGCGGTACAGCCAGGCGCTCCGGCTAACAGCACGACCCGTCGTAGTTAAACTGGTATTAACACAACTAAATTGTGTAATAAATACAGGTATACACAAGTTTATTGGTTATGTTAATCTTGGAGCTTTTTACACCAATTGTTCAAAGTAACAATTATCAGAATGCCGTCTTATTCTATAATTAGATAAATATAAAAATAGTGGAATAAAAGATTTAGTTTTATTTTATAGGTCTTTAAGGAAACATCAACTCGACCCCGTGACCTACTAAATATCTGTTTTTTGGTCTAACACGTTATGGTAAATTTATGTTAAACAAAAACCTATTTGTGGTCTGTTTTTGAAGTAAAACTTCATTACGCACGCTTTACTTGGGGAGTAAGCTGGTGAATGCGTGACGAGAGCGTTACGAAAAGTGTGATCGGGCTAGGCGAACGGAAGTTGAGAGGGATATATAAGTTAGTGAAGATAGAAAGAGAGAGAGTTACGTTTCGTATATTACAATAGGGGCAAGGGAGTGAAGTGCGAGCACACGTATTCTTTCTCTCTTTTTCTCATAGCCAAGAAGTTATACTTCAGTCGTGTGGTCTAAAGCACACTCGTTTTATTTAAATATATTTTTCGATGATTACATCTTTTATCGTTATCGGGCTTCCATCATAACCTTTGTCATAATTTAAAAAGTTGTATCAGAATCGCTGCTGCAGTGTTTGAGCAATTCTAATAAAAGCAAGTAAGCTGTTTATTAAGTACACAGAGATATTAAAATCCTCATTCAATGCCACCTTTATCTAAGTAATTATTGACCCTGATTTATTTTAGCTGTTTATCGTACAAGTCATTAAACTCCTTTAATTTATTGAAAATTAGAAAAGCTAAGATTAATTAAATTTTAAATATCCTACCAAAAAAATCATATCCAATTCTATTCAGCAATAATTTATCAATACTAATTAATTACCTACTAATAAAATAATAGTTCAGGTTACGTTTAGCGGTGGCACAGATTGGGTGCGTTCCGAACAACCTGTTGTAGTTGTCGACCAGCTTTCGATTAACTGTATCTACCACCTACTTGTGCCCATCAATAAACGGTAAAACTGTATTATTTTATTTGCCCTTATCTGGCCTGCTTGTTGAAAAGCTCAAGTCTTGTTTTAACATGTTAACAAGCACCACTAAAATAAACTTTTATCTTTCATGTTGATAGAATATTAACAAATCTGTCAGTCGTATAATAATGACTACATTATTATACATTTTTTTACTACTATATTACGAAATTTGATATCAGAATACGGCCGTAATTTTCAAGAACTTTGTTTACACAAAGACCCCTTTTGTTTATTACTGGGCACTTTGTTACGTTCATAATAAAAATGAGGGGTCAACCTGTCCAAAAAATGTGCAGACACAGATAGACTATTAGGACATCTCTACGTACTGGCGTATTGATTTTCATAATCAGATATTATACTCTTTGACAGGCAAAATACAATTAAAATAAGTATTAAATAATCCCAATAAGTATCGCTGCATCGCAATAAATATTACGCAATTAAACTTTCACACTAGTATATTTATACAGTGGCGTTTTTACCCTAGGGCCAAGTGGGAACGTGGTCGGAGCCTCATCACGCCATAACATCTAGTCGCGGTTCATAACCATTACCTACCCATTATTAGGCAATTGCATTTGGATATATTCACTCTATTACACCCTTATTGGAGTATTTTTATCCAAACGTAAAAGGGCATCGACTTATATTTTTGAAGAACGTCGTAATACTAAACATTAATACATTACCTACTATCATACTGCAGATTATCCGCTATTCGTCGAATTAACAGTATCTAATCCTGTTCTTAGTTCACCTAGTTTTAAAGACGGGTCCATTAATTTCTAAAACTAGTGAGCTTACTAATTGCTTTTAACAATGTTTTCACCGATATCAACGTTACACATTCCTACTTAATAATAAATTGAAGGCTAATGGATTCTATTCACACTACATTAGAGAAAAAAATGATTTTTTTTGTGGTATAGGAAGCCAAACGAACAGACGTGTGACCAAATGGCAAGTGACTACGAGGCCGCCTATGCTAGAACACAGTGACACAGGTGAAGGTAGAATAGCTTAACGCCAGCTTACTGTAAGGCCATCGATTGACCACGTGCCGAAGCATGGCTCTCTCACAGTCATCTTTTAAAACTGTCTCACAATAGAAAGAATAATTATAAAACCTTTTTAGAAAAAAGTTGAACCGACTTCAAACAATACTTACAAAGAGCACTAAAAACGAGATTCCCAAAAAAGATTTACTGTCATTTTCTCTGTCTGTCTGGGAAACTCATCATCACATCTATAAGAAATTTAAACGGGACCATTTCGGAATAAACCCCTTTCGAACAAAAAAATAATTTTGAAAATCCGTCTACATATGACGGAGTTACACAGACTACAAAAAATATATAAACATCCAAATTGATAACCTCCTCCTTTTTAAAGTCGGTTAAAAATATAAATAATTCATAAACTAAATTAAGATCTGCTTCCTTTAAGGACTAAAAGTTTTACTTAAAAGGCATCTCGTTTATTAAATTGTAGACTTTATTAACCTAAAACTGGGTGCATGACTTGCTAATTTTTTGCTATAAGTATTTATAAATGATCCAAACCAACTGAGGTCTGTATTTGCAATGTTTGTTTGATAAAAATAAAAAGGTCACCCGTTGGTGGCGGAAGAGCAAACCAATCGCTCGGTACCGTTATCCTGGGATTCCAGTTATACCTATACGGCAGGTGTGCAATTTGCATGGGAATGCAACGGTGATAAAAAAAAAACTATGTATCTACCTATGACTTACCTACTTGTAAACCGGCACCCAAAGCTCATTTATTACGGCTATCGCTATTAACGGAATAAAAGCAGAATTTATTCAAGACTATTAAAATTTTATCACATAAATAAGCAGGTACCTACCTACTTAATGCAAATGAAGGAGGAACCAGGAAGCATTGCGCCGATGTTGAAAATGACTAGTAATTAGTGATGAAACGGATTTCTAATAACAATCTAGTATCCGGCCTAAATTATCGGGACACCGGGATCAAACCTTAGTTGGTTCGAATTCGACATAACCACCTCATGGGTTTTGCGCACAGAAAAAAAAATTACGACACGGTCTGCCATTGCTTTAACACAGTAAAAGATGAAAACATCGACTTTTAAGTAAATGAAGGGAAGGCAATTATATTTTTACTATCTGTACCCGGCCACGCTTCGCTATGGCATATTGTGGTTGCATTATTGAGAAATGAGGAACAAAACTGAGGCGAAATATAGATAAAAACCATCTTTGAAGCGGGTTGTATAGAATTTGATATCAATGGGTGCAGAACGTTTCGAGTTTTTAGTTTTTATTATCAGAAAACCGCGCGCTGCCTCGGGTACCAGTAGCCAGGGAAACAGGTGTACCCTAGAAAGGAAATCACTAGTACCCCAACGGACCTCGGTACATCTAAGGCTTGTAGATGACCCCTTTTTTTCCGTGCGGAAATCCCCTCGGATACCACCTATCGGTGGCATGTCGGACTCGAACCGACTTAAACCGCACGCCGTCTCGGGTACTTATAGCCGGGGAACCAGGTATACCCTAGAAAGGAAGTCCCTGGTGCTGTAGATGACCCCTTGTGTGTGGTAACCACGATGTTCCCTTTCTACTCCCTAAAGGGCTGGCGCGTTCCACAGTGCGCTGCGCCGCCACCCTTTCCTGCTTCTGCTAGGGTGATAGTTGGCCTCACCTGTCACCCCCAGTCCTGCGCTTATGGAGGACGTAGTTCATCCTGCGACCACCGACGTAAAGTCGCCTGCGGTACCTGCCCCGTTCCCGGGCCTGGCGGACCGGGAGAGTTCTAAACCTGTCCTGGTTCCGTTCCGCCACCTCTTTCTCAAACTTTACTTGCTCGCAGAAACAGTCGGTGGAGTTCCACGGCGCTCTCACTCCGTACAATGGCTGCAATCATGGTACCAAGATCAAGATCAAGAGCACTCCTACTTCGATGACCGGTACGAGTTCAACCTGCTCTTCACCGACGCCGGGAATTCTGCCAGCCCGTGGAGCGACGTATCTATGGCCATCGCAGTGGTGGCACTAAGGCGTTGGCTCCTAGGGGATTAGCTACAGGTAATCTCCGAAGCATCCTTTTTCGGGGATCACCTGCGTCAGCTGGTATGACTGGGTCCCAAGTGGCTTCTCGAGCCTATTCTGCATAACGGGTCTTACTAATCAGCGTTATACTGTGCTTGCCATGTTGCAACGCTTTTTGTAATTTCTGAAAGAATAACTTAGCTTTTTCGGCCTCCACAAACCCTAGAGCCAAAGCTTGTGGGATAACTCGCATGTAGTTGCTCCTACTGTTCATTCTATTAAAGTCACGTTACAATAACGATTCCTACAATGCAAGCTAGGAAAGCCTCTCATTAAACATCAAAAGCAACTTCAGTCACCCAAACTGGCAGTATGGGTATGGTACAGATAATGTTGTACTTAATAATGAGTGAGGATTTCTTTGCTGATATATCACAAGCTAACATCATAATGACAGGCCTATTAAATCTTCACTGCTAAGCCAGAGGGTTCGAATCCCATCCAGGGCAAGTAATTGTGTGATGAGTAGGGATAGTAAAAAATCACAATCACAGGTGATAAATCAAATGATTTATAAATCCACTGCGACTTATTATTATGCTAGTGAGACTCGCGAAAGGTCTAAATCTATAAAAAATATCGTGATCTTTGATAAAAAAGTTTTTACTGACTTTAATGGCATTTATCTTTGGCTATGACGAGATCACAATCACGTGTGAAATCGCTGTCTAAATCCAATCATTTCATCATTGGATTTAGACACAGCGATTTGAAAGTATCAATAATTTCCATGTCTAGTAATGAGTACCTAATATCATTTCTTCAGTCTGGGTCTAAAAGGATATACTGTACCTATTAATAATATGTACTGATATGTATTTAGAAAGCCTGAGCTACAGGCGTTGTATTTGGTTATTATTATTTACCTACCTGTACTTTTTACTATTTCAGATTAATCAAAAAAATAACGTAACTGAATTCAGCGGAATACATAAGTGTACTGTGAGTTTTAATTACCGCAGCTACATGAATTTGAAGAAGGGCCACAAGATAAAGTGATATACAAGATGTAACTTTACCGCCGTAGTCAGAGAAATGTGTTTAAAGAAATTTATTTCAAGCAAAGGCGATTTTTTATTAGTACGGAGGCGCCCGGTTCCAATAAACCCACGACAACATCTCAATTAAAACAGAAAATTCACGAGGAGTCCTGTTAGTCTAAGATCCCGCTTTATAATGACCTTCAACGAGCTGGTTAATGGATGAAAAGTATTTTATATTCAATTAAATATGTCAATAAATATACTGCAAATGGATTGTCTAAAAAAGTTCAGAATATAATTAATTAACAATTAAAATATTGTGTTTTTTAAACATTTAACTGGGTTGCGTATTAGACAAATTCGCACCAATCGAAAGTATGAAGCCCATAGAATATGCAAACGTTAGGTTGACTATTTTTTTCTTGTCACAACTCTTAGCAACAGGTGTAAGCAAGTTTTGTAAAATTTGCGCAGTCGTTTGTTGGAGTGCCTATGATACGACGTAGCACATACAGAAGATAAAATAAAAAATACCTGCTTAAATTGTTTTGTTATGTTAAATAAACCCGCAATTATCATGTCAACTCCACGCCGAAGTTTAAAACTGTAGTTCGCCACACAGTCCCTGGCCCTCTCTAGAAGAGCGAGAGACCACACACCTATAGATGACTGGCTAATTCCTCAGCAATAAATGTTAATTTAACAATAAAATAAAACAAAAATATGATCACCACTTTATTTCACTATTCTGTTACCAATAATATCTATAATCTGCTATAATTAATTAATATCAATGCTGTTAAAGAGAACATTTTTGTACATAAAATTATATACAATACAAAAACAAAAATAACATGAGTGCTGTTACGTTTTGGAGTATTTGATTATAATTAAAATATAATGATAATATTTCGGACATCTTACACACAACGCCATCTAGTTGAAACTAAGCAGAGCTAGTACTATGAAAGCTAGATTGACTGATAGAATCCTTATTCTTTTTTTTTGTAAATACATACATAGAAAACAGAAATAGAATACATAGAAACACATACATAGAAAACACAGATTAGCAGACGCAAACGCAAACAAAGATTAGCAGATCATACAAACATTTGGTCCGAACCGGGCATCAAACCCGAGACCTTAGCACAGCAGTCGCATACGCTACCACTGCGCCACCGAGGCAGTCATCACGCGCATATATATTATCAAAAATACATATGTATTAATTTACAACCAATGAGTAGAGACAGTTCAATAACATTGTGATCATATTGTTTAAAAGCATGTCCTTTCATTATCAACACTGTGATATCATGAGGAGTTTTATCTTGGGGTAAATAAATTTGTGTGCAGAAAATGGTAACTAATGATAAATAAGAAAGTGAGTTTATTATTCACTAACTTTTGTCCGTGGCTCCGCCCGCGTGTAAATCAGTTATAGTCTACGTACTTCCTCAAAAATCAACATCTCCATGCCAAAATTTCATTTAAATCGATTTACTGTTTCACAGACAGACAGATTTACTTTCGCATTTATAATATTTGTGGGGAAATGTTTGTTTGTTACCCTTTAACGCCATAACTGCTCATCGTGAAGTTTTGCACACATGTCAGGAATACAGAAAAAGATTTAAGATACCTTTTAATTTACGCGTATCAAGTCGGATACCACCTTCCTAAATTTTAACGATTTAATTAACTATGTCAACTCAATCTTTTGGTCTACAATAACATTCAAGAACTGCTCGACAATTTGTAGTAATTTAAATTGCCTAGCAGTAATATTAAATTTTATTTAATGTCTAAAATTAATTAAAAGCTAGAATGTTTTATTTAAATTACAATTAAAGCAACACATTTAACGCAAAATATGCGCTTTGACGAGTAGAGTTGCGGAAAACAGCCAGTGTAAACCTAACCTAACATTAAAATCAATAAGATACCTTGTTTTGACGGGCCTGTTGGTCTAGTGACCCTGACTGCTAAACCGGAGGTCGTGGGTTCGATTCCCACCCAGGACAAATATTGTGTGATGAGCACGGTCATTTGTTCTGTGTCTGGGTGTAATTTATCTATAATATGTATTTATTTAAAAATATATAAGTATGTTTATCAGCAGTCTGGTTACCATAGTACAGGCTCTGCCTAGTTTGTGATCAGAGAGCAGTGTCTGAGATGTGTGAGGTATATTAATATTTAAATATTTTTATGTCGCAGAGTATCTACGTAACTATGAATATCCAGCAACATATCAATAATAGATTAATTACTTACTTTATAGCCGTTGCACGAACTTGAATTTATTTTAATAGTATTTTTACTACACAATAACGTAGCTACATTACAATGCACAAAACATTAATTTTACAACAATTTTTATAACTAACATAATGACAAATTAAACATGTCAGCAATATTGGGATTGCTAAGGCACTGAACTCACAATCGAAAAATTTGGAGTTAGATTGTCACATTACAACAACTTAATTATATATTTTATAGGATAATAATTATTACTATCATAATATCCCTTAGTGATAATTATTCCGACTTAACATTTAACTTAATATTCTCAGATAAATTCACAAAGCAATTTGACAGTAAAGTGCCAATACCTCCAAACCAACATTTTTAGAGAAATTCCCTTTTTAGCTTTTTCAATTAAAGTCACAATTCGCTATTTTTAAGTGAAGTTTCCAGGGTCTATTTTTGGTTGCTACACAGTTTTCGCAAATTTAAAAGTAGAACAGACCAAATTTGCCTGGTTATTGGTTACGCCAAGTTATTTTTCTAAATTAAATCAGGTTTCTAATAACATCTCATAAAGTTGGTAACCTTGTGGGTTAGAAGTTAACCGCACATCGCAGTGAAAATAATATCACAAACCAAATATCAACTTCAAAATCATGTACAAATTACTCAATTATGCTTCACTTCACTAATCAGTAATCGAATCAGTGACTGAACAAAAATCAACATTTGAACAACAATAAGGCACTTGGGAAGACATATATTTTAAAGGCACAAAGTTCAATAATTCTTAAATCTATTAATATTTTACTGCGTGGGTACAATACATAGGGATTTCCCACATTTACCTCCTCCTCATCCCGTTGAAAATCAAAAATTAAGTTGATTTCAGGTAACTCATACATAACACATATTCGTGAATGTAGGTATATCTCTCCCCTTTTCTGTAATTTCTCGTTGTCCTTGCGACGGGCTATGGCTGTCATTAACTTAAGAGTAGGTACGCACATAAGTTACATTTAACGCCTCCGTGTGGTTAACCAATGAGAATGAGAATAAAGTTGTCAACACAAATTGCAAATAAAGTAGGGTCGACGAAGTATTGCCAATATCTCCCAATCCTGTTTACGAATGTGAGTGAATGGTATTAATAATTTATTGTAGTTATTTATTATCATCTTAGTTATTTAGATTTGTACGTGTTTCAAATTTTAAAGACAATTAGATTAACATAAACACAAATATAAATATATATTTGACATTTTCATAGTTCGTCATGTATGCGTACTTGAAATAAACCGGCACAAATTATCAGAAATGAGTTTACTAGAGCACACACTGACTCGCCCCACTGAACGATACCACCAAATCCATTTGTTCGGCAGCTACGATGACAAAAATATAAACAGTCATAAATTTTTAGGCAACGTGTGTTCTTCAAACAGCTATTTATCTAAGTAACAATAACATAATGATAAGCAGGGTGACCGGTGAGTATCTGAGCGCGCGTGCGTCAAGTGTGGTCGGTGGGTGCGCGGCGGGCGTGGTGCGCGGCCAGCGCGAGCAGCACGCGGCGGTAGAGGGGGGGCGCGCGGCGCAGGCGGAACAGCGCGCCCCGCAGGTACTGCTGCGGGCAGCGCGCCGACCCGCTCGCGCCGCACAGCGACACCGCCTGGCGCCAGATGCGGGTACTCACTGCGAGCATTACGTTTATACCTTTAATACTGTCCAACTAAAACACAGACACGCTAAGTTAAGGGAAAGGCAACTCCCGCACTAAGAATGAGTATATCCTCTGTCGCGGAGGAGCCCTTGATGATAAATTTAGATTTACTCGAGCGTCATGGGGATCTATTGCATTTGTAGGATTAGGTAATAGAATGAGCCAACGTTTTATATAATGTTTCCACTTTCAGCGGTAGGAAAAACTTCTACGAATTATCTAGCGAATTATCGAAAATGCAAACTGCAAATTCGAAAAATCGTAATTTCGAAATACCCAAGCGCATTGATATAATACTTACATAGATGAGTAATTACCGCCTAAAATCGTTGCTACTGCACATCTGTCCACAGGCATATGCGTAGCAAACGTCAATTCAGTGTTCAATGTGGCGTCAACCGAGTTGAACATAGCGACACATGACAGTAACAATCGCCAAAATGGGTAAATGCGTAGTGAAAGAATGCGATTCAAGGTCACAAAACCATAATAAATCATGCGGAATTACTTATCACGTGTAAGTTTATGGTTTTTGTATTGATAATATCGTAAATAAGGCTATAATTGAAATAAAACATTGATAATTGTAATTTAGAATCAGTGTTACCATTAAAAAATCATTTTTGTTTTCCCACATTAGTGGGAGAATTTATAATTTATGAAATAATATGCTTTATACTGTTTTTAAACATTTTGTCAATAATAATAAAATATAGGAAGAACGGTAGTTGTTAGGGCTGAATCGATCACTTTTTTTAGGGACCCGTTGAACGTTCACCTTCTGCCAAGCTCGCAGTGCTGGAGACTTTTGTATAAGAATTAATTAATTAATTCATTCATTTTTCTTAATTAATTATCACATATATATATATATATATATATATATATATATATATATATATATATATATATATATATATATATATATATATATTATATATATATATATATATATATATATATAAAATAAAAAAGTAAATTAATATAAATAAATTTTTTTTTTTTTTTATTTGTATTTTAAAATATTAAAAGAATTTGCAATACACCCTGGGGATTATTTATTATCAGTACAAGTTGATTCACTTTTACTATGAAATGCCATTATTTATACATAGGTAAAAATAAGATTGTATCATGAAAGTAAAATATTCACACAAACTTATAAAAAATAGTCTAAAAGACAATTGTATACAAAACTGATGCTTCATAGCGGAGTTTGATTTTACACTGAATATAAACCCTTTTAACCAAATATTTCTAGTTATTTTATTATTTATACCTATTCCATTCAATTCGAAATATATTATTTAAAATATTTAAATTAATTTATTTTATTACAAAATTGTTTTAAAAAAAAATTGTTTCTTGGTTGTTATGGGTAAAATTTCATACGGTAGTCAACACTGGCCCACCATCGTAAAGTTATGTCTTTGTCTTTGTCTAATCCGAGCGATGGTATTGTTCTTGTCTCGCGTGTAAATGAGACATAAATATGTTTACTTTCAAATGTTTCGTGGTATCAAAGCTACGTCGTCAAAGTTCAAAAGTGGTTACACTTTTTTCGACGTGTGATAATGAGGTTTGCTTCTCTAGTGTTGTTTTAACTCAATGCCCAAGCGTGTTAGATTTTATACAGACGGTTCAGCTTGATGTTCCTCTTATACTAGCTGAAAATCTGAAGATAATTTTGAAGGGTATTTTAAATCTGTTATAAATATTTTAATTTTTTACCCTCAACGGGGCCCAATATGAAAGATAAAGTTACTATGATGAAAAGACAAGAGTAGGAAGTGGTGTTCTTGAAATATATGACTTTAAAATTTAATATTAACTATAATGCTCGGATTTGCACTTATGTTTAAAATAGGTCAAATTATACACGTGTTTCGGTATTATATTATAATACGGTATTAAAAATGCAACAAACTGTAACTCCTGTGAAAATAGTAATTGCATCCAAATAACAGATTTGTAACTGCAGAGGAACTTTATAGAGATAATAAGATATATATAATATTTTCATTAGCTTAGTAACAGTATACCTACTTAGTGATATTTAATAAAATAATAATAATAATGAGTATAGATAATAGTATTATGAAGTGTCTGTCTCTGGTGTCGTAACCATCGGTATCTTGGTCCCTGTACCCGAAACCGATAGGACACAATTTTTTACATTTTTAAATGTATTTTGTTTTATTTACATAAATATATTTAAAAATCGAATTCACATGTTTATTTAATAAAATAAACATAATAACAATAATATTTTCACACATCTCACACACGGCTGTCTGATCCCAAACTAGGCAGAGCCTGTACTATGGTAACCAGACTGCTGATAAACATACATATTTCTAAATACATACATATTATAGATAAAGTACACCCAGATAAAGTTTAACAATAATTTATATAACTTACGAAAGTGTTGCATGTCGGCATCACAGTGTTGACATAGTTGCTGTAAAGATGAAGCTCCATCTATCAGAGGCACATTGGTTCCAGTGACCAGGAGCGAGTTTGGTAACACAACATCCCGGACAACCTCTTCTATTTCCAATTTTAAAGACTGAAAAATTTATGGAATAATTATCTCCTCTAAGATGATAAATAAGTTTAGCAACTGTAATGCTGAGTCAGTTATTTATATACCTGATTGTCAGGGTCTTCAGCGGTTATCTTTTTGTTTTCTTCTTTTATAACATGCAACCAGTAAGCTGTTGGAACATGCTGTAAATTAAAAAGGTAATAAAGAACATTTACTTTGTACTATGACAACTAATGTATTGAATACACTTGAAGTCATGCTTTAGGCTGCTTTCACACTAGTGTTTGTAGGTAGAGGACGAGATATGCGTACGCGCCGCTTAGATAGTAATAAGTCCACAAATCTCACACACGGCCGTCTGATTCCAAACTAGGCATACATAACATACTTTTATATTTCTAAATACATACATAGATAAATTACACCCAGACACAGAACAAATCATTGTGCTCATCACACAATTATTTGTTCTGGGTGGGAATCGAACCCACGGCCGCCGGCTTAGTAGTCAGGGACACTAACAACTAGACCAATAGGCCAGACCAACAAACCAGATGAAAACTATTTGGTATACATATGCGACGCTACGAGCGACTATAGGAAAAACGTGATGCACGCGTCATGTTGTCCTTTTGTTGTTGCATTCTATATATACTAACATGTATGTCCATCAAAAGTCCACGCTGGACGAACCCGAAGTACATTATACTTAATGACTAAGGCTCAAAACTAACGGGAAAAGCGTTCGTTACTTTTTCGTTTTAAGTTTATATTAATTAAATGACATTTAAATGTAATTTGTTCCAGTATCTGCCTCCACCCGTTTTTGAATAATTATGTTACCTTCTTTCCTCTGTCTGTTATGAAATCAATGAACGAATAGGTCAACACAGTTGCATGCATAGTAGGTTTAATTGAATACATATTTACTTAAATTGTTGAATGCTGTTTTTATAGATATAGTAGAAATTGTTTGTGATAGAGGTGGTGCAGGTGCTTATGTGGATGGAGTACCCTATAAGTACTTGTGCTTTTACAATATACCTATATTGATGAATTATAGATAAGAATAGTCTGTAAATTTACATTAGTATCAGCTAACATCAGGATCCTATGTGCATGTGGCTGATCAGTGGTGTCAGGTGACTGTCGATTAACACAATCAGGATACATCTCAACCAACACAACACTGTTTTCTCCCCCAAGCTTTTGTTTCGATTGCTCCTTTATAGCCAGCTCGTCAAGTCTGTCGTAAATTAATGTGGCCACTTTCAGCTTTAATCCTGAAAATTAATAGTTACAGAATTAATTAACTTTCTTTAAAGTATCTCTTACAACTGATTTCAGTTATTAAAAAATATTATGATATCGTAACATACCAACAGTAATCTAAGAAATGGTGATTAAAATATTAACAATTATTACAGTTGTGAGGCACAAAACTTTGATTCCCGTTAGGTTTTACACTTCTGTGACAAAACTTGGTTTGTTGAGACAAAACTTAGGGGACACCTTCTAAATTTCACGGAAAAAAATCTTGTTTTAGCAAAGCAAGCCGCTGGATTACTAGTGTTATACAGGAGGGGGTCATTTACACGCCGTAGATGGCCCGAGGATGGGGTATCAGGGATTTCCTTCCTAGGGTACACCTGGTTCCCTGGCAACTGGTACCCGTGACGGCGTGCGGTAGGTTCGTGTCTGACATAATAACCGGTGGGTGGTATCCGAGGGGATTTCCGCACAGGAAAAAAAAGAAAGTGTGATAGCCAAAGTATGACAGATAGCATGAGCATAATTTAGAGTGCCCGTAATAATAATTTGAAATCACAATCAACACAACTTACCACAAAACTGAAATGGTAGCATGTAAAACAACAGTCACATTAATAAGTATGAAATTGGACGCAAGTAAACTGATTTCCAGGTTGACTATCATCATCATCAACAGCCTTTAATAGTCCACTGCTGGACAATAGGTTGACTCTAATTACTAGTAATTACCATAATCTACTTAAAAATTGCTGCTTCTCTTCTTTAAATTTCGTCACAAAGGAAACATCATCATCAACTAAACTACTGTCTGAATCCTCTTTTATCTAATGAAGTAATTTTGATTGTTACCCTAACTCATAAAGTTGATTAGGAATATAACTTATTTCTTTATTTATCACTTTTGTGCATTGGCTGACTTAATTCCCAAGACATTCTCTTCCAGTCAACCTTTAGGTAGTGTAGAAATTGTGAGTTGTAGGCGCATATAGGTTATAATACTAATCACTAAAATATACACTACACAACACATGTAATTTTATACACAAACAAACACACACTATATACACTTATGTGCGCCTACCACTCACGATTTCTACAGTGCCCAAAGGTTGACTGGAAAAGAATGCCCTGGGCATGAAGTCTACCGATGTACAAAAGTGCATAAAGTTATAGTTTTAAATAAATGAAATCAAACTACTATGATATGGTTACTTAACCTACACAGATCTATGCCTATAACATAATTTTAAAGTTTTCTTAAAATACACACTTAATTCTTAAAAATACATACATTATGATTACTTAAATAATTTTCAACAGCCAGTTGGCTTTTAGACCATGAATAGTTAGGAATTAGGATGAACTAACGTAATTTCTAAGGTACTCAGTATAAAAAAACAGATAGTTACCAAAATGCTCAGCAGCAACCTCTATATCAGCATCTTCACACCATGCTAAGATAATCTGCATTGCTTGTAATAAAGAACATTGCAGTCTAAAGAAAAAAGAGCCAGTTCTGATAGGTTGCTTCTTACCACACCCCTCACATACCCACTGCACTCTGGAAAAAACCATAAAAGGTAATTGAATTAGGAGTACATTTATTAAAATAAGGTATTTAACTGAGCTTTGGCTCTGAAAATAGTCTAAACTGTTTAGTACCATTATTAAGAAAACAATATAGCTTATGATTGATACTAATATCTTAATTTTTGTCTTTGTTTATGCAAACCTTCATCTTGAGGTTCATCATAGTACATGATCCCCTGTGCTGAATTACATATTTCTCAATTCATACATATTTGTTGACTGCAAGGATGGAGTAGTGGTTTAAGCGGTCACCACGCCGCTCACTACTATGCTGAGTGTTATGGGTCTGATAACCACATGGGACGACTTCTTGTGAAATCCACAAATTGTTGATGTTGTTCTGAGTCTGGGTGTTCTTAGTGTCCGTTTCATGTATGTTTGTAAAGTTCCCACGACACAATATATATTACTAATACGGCAGTTGTCTTTTTAAAAAAGAAAAAGATAAAGAATATTTTAGACAAATTACACCCAAAACAAATGACTGTGCTTTTCATATAATTATTTGTACTGGGTGATAATCAAACCCACAATCTCCTGCTTAGCAGAGAGGAGTACTAGCCACTCACTCACACGCTAGTCTTACTGGCCCGTTTAGATTGCTTATGGATTAAAATGCTTTGTAACAATCTAAATCTTCTATTTTAAAATTACAAAAAAACAATTAAAATACTCATATGTAACTTACCTGTCTATGACTCTAGCAGGTTTACAAGTAACTTTACAATCAACATTATTGCTTGGGCAATTTATACTGCTCGGTAACAATCCAAATTCTTGAAGTCTTTCTACTAGTTTGTATTCTAGTCTTTGGTCACTTTTGTTGCTTATAAAATCTTTATACAGCTGAAAGTTGCTAAAATTTGACAATATTGATTCATAATGTGTACTGTCTGTAATGTTTCAAATGCAATGAAATCATCACTTATAATTTTCATTTAATAAGAAGTAATCATACCCTGGACATATATTAAATGGTAAACATGGCTCAGCTAGTTCCTGTTTTGTAGTGATATCATAGGTTGTGGAGTCAGCTTCCATGTTTAGTGTATTAAAATCGCACTAGCACACTTATTATTAGGCAGTCATCTAGATATTATTATTTGTAATTACAACAGAAAAGTAAACTGGTATAGTACTCATCAAATGGTCTTTTTTTAGGGCCCTAAAATTGAAATTAAAACAATTTGTTTCTTACTATTATTTAATATTTACCCTTATGGGCCTCATGTCAATCAAATCACTCAATTTTAGCTCAATTTAATCTGTGATCAATCAAATGTTATTAAGAAATGACACAGGTCACAGACTCTCAATTATTCGTATATTAGTTTTCTATGTGACTTTCTACATTATAGTAATCTCAAAATCTGTGGTTCAGTTTAAAGCCAGCCGTTTATACACTTTTACTCAAAAACACAATATTTTTCAATAGAAAATAAATATTTTATAATGTTAAATTGTGTGTAAATTTATTATATGATTTAAAATGTGAATTTCGTTTTCTTCTCATTTTATGTTTGAAAATTTGCCTACATCTATAATAAATTTATCTCAAGAGTAGTTCTTTTTGACTCTGTCAACTGCCATATAGCCTGTGGTCATAAGCAACTGTCACTGTCTGTCACATTTGTACTACATGTCGCTAATTGCACTTTTATTTTTGTGTAGTGTTTTTAATTTTTTATATAAATTCTGATAATCAACTTGTCAGCAAAACTGGGAGTGACATGTACGCAGAAGTCTATGTGGGAAACGTAAGTACGCATATCTGTGTGTGTTTCTGTCAGTAACAGTTATTTTTAATACTCGGAAAGTAGTAACTAATTCACAGATGCTCTCGTACATTTCTTTATCAAATGCATTTCAATGTAAAAAATTCGAGTTGTGCTGGTAAATAGTTTAAAGAAGGCGTACTTGTTTAACAATAATTGTAATTTTATATATACTATTTTAATTATGATTAGCATTTGAAAAGACTTCGTAAAAATCTAATTGATTAATTAGATACATCTCGCCTAGTTATTTCTAACGTAACTTTATATATTTTTAATATATAATTATGATTTTGCCATGTACTAGTCTCATTAAATTTAATGAAATAAGTATGTGTAAATATATGGGTCATTATATGTTAAGAGGTAATATGTTGTATGAAGTGACGGCATGGCATTTTTTTAAATATTTTTACTTAAGTATACATCTTTTTTATGGAAACTTTTAAGTTGAAAACGTTTACAAAGTGGCCAGTCAATTTGTTGGTTTTATCTCGTTTTATAAGTGACCAGGGTAAATACTCAGTACAGGGTAGAGACAAAATGCACAGGGGAGGATACTTTATGGACAGGGAAGAGAGATAGACATATTAAAAACAGGGCTTTTTTTTTAAGAATCAACTTTATTTATTTATTTTTATTATGAATTATTTATAATCAGTCTTATCATTTCTTAGCAGTCTTTGTTTATAAAATTAAATGTTTCTTAAGCGCTAGGTACAAAACATAAAAAGGTTCTTACTTTTCCTATCCATCAAAACAAAAATATCTATAACTTTACTATCAATAGTCAATAATGAAATAAAAAGAAACAAAAACATCTCTGAGTAACAGTATTAAATTTTTCTTGTAATTAAACTCTAACAACATTTTAATTAAAAGGTAAATAAAAAAAAAACATTTCTAAAACCCGCGTTCAAAGACACCAATAGATTCATTAAATGTATAAAAAATACGCTGCCCTCTCATTTTTAAGTTAGGGGAGGGTAGTTTTTTTAAAACCTGATCCCAGGCGATGAAAGAAATATCGTCATCATTAATTCTGAACTTTTTTCCAGTATCATCACAGATTTTACAAAATATAACTTCAAGTTCATCATCTTCTTCAACACCTGTGCACATTGCAACATAACGATATTCTGTTTTTTTATCTTGAAGTTTAACCAGCACAAAGTCCCCGTTGCAGAATGTTTTCTTTCCAGATGTTGAGGGTTTTGAATCATCTTTGTGAATTTTGGTTTTAATACTGGTAGGTAGAGAATGCTGTAGTGTTTTCTGAGGCTTCTTCCTGTGTTCTTGAGATGTGAAATTGATTAGTGGTTTATCTTCTGAATTGCTAGCTTCGTATATATCATCAACACGTAGAGGAAATTTACGATGTGTTTGTGGATAATCCAAAGTACCCAATTGAAAATGACGACATAGCTCTGAGTCACAGAAGCAGCTCAAACTTTTCAATTTCAGGCAATTAGGTATACGTACACAACCGGTAACTTGGTGAACCTTTAGTGTGCCTGAAAAAGTCTTTATACCTTCAGTAGAACCTAATTTTGCTGCTTTTTCAGATATGTCTGCATCATCTACGGTGAAAATTTTAATATTCGGGCAGGTTTTCTCAAGAGCTTTAGCTAAGTCATCTATTGATGAAATATCGGTGCCACTCGCAACTAATCTATCTGCAGTTCTCTTGCAAGTAGCACCCACTCCATCAGGAGCTTACCCTTACCGTGACCTGCTTCATGATAATTCCATGTGAAATTTTGAAGTTTAGGGTAGAAATCTTCTAGCATTGTTGCCAAAACCTTGAACATCATTTTATTACGATATTGGGTGACTGGCCCATCGCTCAAGAAATGCAAACTCGTAACAGTAGCCGGCAGACAGTCAAGTATGGGCTGTAAATGCGCCCAAATTGCAGGAGGTGAGTGCAATAAATTTTGTGACAAAGTGCAGTAGCATTGGCTTTTTAATTCTTGGACGACATCTTTAGTATAGACTATAACAGTGTGCATACTTATTTGCTGTCTCGATCCTCCGAAATGAAAGGATTGTACTTCTTCAGCGTATTTTGTTAGGTAATTTTCACTAAAATCTACGTGTATAATTGCTTCTGACTCAGTAAGGGACTCTTTTTTTGATTTTATTGTTTGATGTTGGTGCACTATGTTTAGTTCGTGATTCAAAAACTTTTCTATATTTGATTCCAAATCCAAAATCAAGTCCCTTGGTAGAATCTGTAGTGAGCTTTTAACGCATTTCGTTACAGTTCGTGGTTTTTGAGTTTTTAAATCCACAATATCTTGGCGTACACTTTGCCACTTGCTGTAAAATAGAGGAATGGAGTTATCGAATTCTTTATAATGTAGACCTTTGTTTAAACACGTCTTGCACTCGCGTGATAAACATTTTTCGTTGAATCTGTTGCAGCAAACTTGGTTTAGAAGGTCCACGTAATTCGACACAGATATTATCTTAGCGTTGTATAGTGATTTCAGCATTAAATCTATATTGCTGTGTATAACACACATGCAAGTGTTACGACCGTCACAGCGTGGTTGGACGACCCAAAATGGTCGGAGTTTGCAGAACATTGGGTACGATATTTTAATGTGTGTCTTTTCCACAAAACGTTTGTGCAAGTTGAGTAACGTATCTAGCATAACTCGCTTTTGCTTACGCTCGCCCTTCTTCGTTATAAAGTCTTTTTTTCCTGCACAAAGTCTACTGCTCGAATCATCTTCCATAAATTTGACTATGCACGTTTTCAAATTTTCACAGTTTTTTCTTGAGCTGCGCTTTGTGTCCATTAGTCTTAATTTCTTGCCTATTTTACTCAAAGGTTTTATTTTCATTTCTTTCGGTAAAACATTGTATTTTTTGACTATTTTCCCGCTTAACACTCTCCTGAAAACTCTTTTTTCTTGGACAGTGTTGAGATTTGAAAAATGTTCATTAAGTTGCTGAGTAATAACTTCACTGAAAAGCAGTTTCTTCTTTATAGTTTCTTTGTCGCCTGCTGTTATAAGTGAATTAACTTTGGTGTTGGGTGTGCTGATTGGTGGTTTTTTGATCCGTTGTATTTGTTTCTTGTAGCGTTGGACTGCAGACTTAAGTTGAGATATTTCAGCCTCTTGTTTTCTTATTATCAGGTTTCTTGCTTTTCTTGCTCGAATTGACTTTTGCTGTGCTGCCTGCGCTCGCCTGTTTATATTTTGAGGGGGCGGTGGGTATTCACTATCCGAACATGGTGGTGTTTCAGGCGCATTGCTTATATCTTGGAGTGCTAAACGACGTCTACGAATTTTTGCTTTTTCTCTCCATACTTTTCTAACCTTCCGCTGCTCTCTGGGAGTCATTTGCTGAACTGTCTTAATAACTCCTTTTTCTTTCTTCTTTTCATATTTTTCCCTTTCCTTGATTTTTTGTTGAGCGTACTTATCTTTGTCATTTTTAATTCTTTGGTATCTTAATCGTTCTGCTATCCTTTTTTTTTCGAGCCGTTCTTCGCGCGTCATTTTTTTTCTAGGTGGCATTTTTTCTGTAAAAAGGTCATATTAAATTGTAAAGCTAAGTTATACATAATGCCAAGTAAAGGTTCAGAGAAAAATGTAGAAGTATTCATGAAAACGCATACAAATGTATCTCCCCTGGACATTAAGTATCTCCCCTGCTATCAAAAGAGCCAGGGGAAATACGCCAGGGGAGATACATTTTCGATTGATGTCTAAAATAGCCGTAAAAGTGTTTCTCGTACGCAATTCACAATGAAACGTAACAATGTATGCACTATTCATAGTGAATATTTAAGTCTATATTAGTATTTTAACAAATAATTGCTAAATAAAACTTACCAGAGGAAAGACTGCATTCACTCAACACTTCTACACCCAGCGAGCGGCGTGACTGAAATGGCCGTTAAAATGGCTGCACGGTCGGCTTATGCACCGCTTGCTGCTAGCTTCACGTTACATTTTATGCACTCAAGGTCACAACTTCCACAAACTCGCAAAACAAAACTGATTTTTAAACGAAAACAAAAAGCCAGGGGACGAGACACGAAACACGGAGGACAAATTTCGGCGTTGATATTATTGATGAAAAATTGGAATGTATATAATTTTACTTATAAGACACTGTGACTAAGTTATTGTTCTGTATAAAATTAACGATGATAAGGTAATTACTGAATTTTAATGTATTCATAACAGCTGGTTTACAAATAAAGTCGGTTTGGGGACAGACCAGGGGAGAGACTTTTTTCTTACATTAGAACTTATTGTGACTAAACTACGTACATTTCTGTAATAAATTTAAGTGAGCATGAAGAAAGCATTTAGTTTTAAGTAATAAATATGTTAATTAGGAAGTAAGTATAAAAAAAATCTATTTTTTGTCTTGGCCATGGAAAGTACCTCTTAACTTATAATGACCCATATGTATATGTAAAACTTTGATGCCATTTTATACAAACTAATAAATCTCGTTAATATAAAAAAGTAATGACAATATAAGCTGCTCTAATACCAAATTTGAATTTTTAGTATTTGGTATCTAGTATAGCACCATGTTTAAATTGCATGACTTTAAAGTTCCCAAAATAAAAAGAAAACAATTTGCTCTAAATATTGAACTATAGCAGAATATAATTTATGTTAAAGACATAGTGATGAGGTGTGATACCCCTCCCATACCATATACACATAATGTACAACTTGTGTAATGTTGAGTACCTTTTGAGGCTTCAATAATTAAGTAAACACATTGAAGTGTTGTCATAAATAAAACACAACCAAACAGTTTAATGTTTTATTTATCTATAGGCACACATCAATTGCAAATGCTCACTTTGCTTATTCTAAAAAAAGAGTATGATAACATGTTCTCAATATCTATACTACAATATATAAGTATATCAAACAATCTCTAGCCTTATTAACAATATAATATAATAAGACCATTGATAAAAATAATTAGGTACATATTAATAACAAGACACAGAAAAATCATGCATTTTTTTGTCCTGGATGGGCATCAAACTTGCAATCCCTGGCTGAGCAGTCAGGAAAACTTACCACTAACCCATAAGAAAAAAATAATTGTGTTATAAAATTTATTGAATCATTTAAATATAAAAAACAGAATTCACACTAAAATGTGTTAAGGGGTATGTATTATGAAATAATACTGTTAATTTATCATTGGTTCTTCTAACTACCCACAAGTTAACAGTGATGTGTAAAAAGATTTGAAACAAGAATGTAGCTCAACATATTATGTGGTCAGTTATTCCAGCCAAAAAAAATTGCTTTGTATTTTTATTTAACACTAATTCAGACTAGTATTGAGGATTGCTTTAAAAGTAGGATAGTAAATATTATCGTATAAGAGGCCATATTTTCGTGGAGGTACATGTTTTACTGAATTTAACCCAGTTTTTGTGGATAAAAAATTATGTGGTATTTGCAGAGACTCCTCCTCTCCCTAAAGTAAGATTAGATGAGATAGCTTCTGATTCTTTTAAACAAAAAAGCAAACCTAAATTAAACACTAAGATATTATTGCCTGTCACAGACATACTCCTAAAGAGATTTGGAACTTCATTTGATGTCATATCTTTTCTTTTTAATCCTAATAAATAAGGATTTTACTTATTGTCATAACCATGTATGAAAATAAGTAACCCATTTATGTTCTGTATACATACATGGATGGCGTAGTGATGTAAGCGGTCGCCACGACGCTTCCTACTACGCCGAGTGTTATGGGTTCGATCCCCACATAGGACGATACTTTGTATGATCAACAAATTGTCGTTCTGAGTCTGGGTGTTCTTTTTGTCCGTTTTGTGTATGTTTGTAAAGTCCCCTCGACACAGGATATATTCCTAGTGCGGGAGTTTTCTTAAAAAAGAAACAAAAACAAGTTATAATGATGAGTACTCATCATCATCATCATCATCATCATCAACAGTCTTTATTAGACCACTGTTGGACATAGGCCTCTCCTTAAAAAGGAGGCTTAGTTTTGTGTAGTTTGACATATAGTAGTAGGTACTCATTTTAACAATATAAATCATTTCAACGGCTCATTTTACGATAATTTAAAAAATCTTATAAGTAGATAATTGACTATAATGTCAATTTTCAAACTAAATCCATAAACGGTTTCCGCGAAACACGCACGCATGCATGTTTAAAGGCAATAGTCAGTGATGTGACGCAAGAGGAATATTTTCGGCGGCAATGTAGCGCGTTAATCCATAACGGCCCCACTGAAACTCACACTTGATGACGTCGCGGCTAAAATTTGTTTATTGGTCTAAAAACAACTACTATTATACATATTTATTGCTTACGAGTAACATATAAAATCACTTTACTGCACTTCCCGGTGTATTTTAGATTACATCTAGGAAATGTATTGGGAGAGAGAGAGAATTAAACAGATGTAAAAATATGTTAGTTTCACAAATTATACAGAAGTATGTCGAAGATAATATAGCGCTTGTAGAGTAACCGAAACTTAGTTACTATAGGTTTATGATGGTAGAGTAAATTAACTTTGCCTCAAAGCTAATGATTAATAGGGATTATAAATTAACTGTCACTACCACAGAAGAAAAGAAGAAGTCTCAATTTGTATGAATTTAAGGGTTAAAACAATCGTCCGTGTCCGTGTGGTGTCGGATTAAGAATACAGAGTGTCACCACCCCTATTCATGCCGTGGGTGTCGTAAGAGACGACTAAGGGAGAAAACTACGCAGAGCAACAGCACTGCAGAGAGAAGGAAAACTTGGCACAAACCCTTTTTTTTTTTTTTTTTTTTTTTTTAACGTGTGGAAATCCCCTCGGACCGTCACCCCTCCGGGGTTTGCGGCGGGGTGGTGTGTCGGACTCGGACCGACTAAAACCACACGGTGTGCCACTCTGCGCCTGTAACAGGAGGGATCCGGGAACAGCTGTTGTTAAGACATCCGGACCCCTCCTGGCGCCAGCCCGCTCCTGGTGCGGGCTCCGTCTCAATGTAGATGTTCCTCTCTTTAGGCGACGTCCGGCACACGCGGACGCCGCCCCCTCGCAGCTGGCCAACTAATGCGGGTGGAGGGGAAACCCACCCCGTCCACCCGCGGCCACACTCAGGGCGGCATGAGGCTGTGGTAGGCGGGCCTCCGCCGTCCGGTTCGCCGGCGGCGGATCGGGTCCGAGTGGAGGTCGTCCTCCCGGGCCCTCTCCGCCGCCTCCTTCCGCGAGATTACTACCTCGCAGAAGGTTGCGACCGCGGTAAAACAACTGTCGCTACCGGCCATGGAGCGTACTACGGCCGGTAGCGAGAGATCCACTCCGATGACTGCAGTGAGGGCCCGGCGCTGCGCCGCCCATGCGGGGCAGACCGCCAGCGTGTGCTGGGCCGAGTCCTCACTGCAGTCGCAGTGGTGGCAGGCGGGACTCAGTTCCCTCCTAGCGACCGTGTGCAGGTACTTTCCGAAGCAACCGTGCCCGGAAAGCACCTGCGTCAGCCGGAAGGAAAGGGTCCCGTGCTGCCGCCCTGCCCACTCGGCGATGACCGGCTGGAGGGCCTCCACGGCGTCGAAGCCAGCGCGTGGAGTCTCAAGCCGGAACGACCAACGAGCCATCGTGGCTCGGCGAGCGGCTTCGCGCCACTCGCGCACATCCTCGGGCGGAGGGCGAAATCCGCTCTCCGCCCGGTAGTCAGCCACTCGCCGATAAACTTCGGCGAGCACTTCCGCCTCCAAATCCCACGGGGGAGTTCCGGCCAACGCGCACGCCACCTCCGTCGAAACGGTGCGGTAACCGCGTATGGCTCTGACCGCCATCACCCTCTGAGGGCGCCAGAGGCGTACCCTATTCTGGGCGGTCAGAGCCGCCGCCCACACCGGTGCACCGTACAGTGCCATTGACAGGACAACCCCCGTGTACAGCCGTCTTGTCGCGACGCTGGGTCCACCCATATTGGGCAAAAGTCGCCCTAGGGCAGACGCAGCGCCGACCAGCTTTGGAGCAAGCTGTCGGAAGTGCTCGTCGAAGAGCCACCTCCCGTCGAGGATCAGGCCCAGATATTTCATCTGGGCCCGAACCGGTACGAGGACCGAGTTGACCACGATGGAGGCGCCAGGGGGTGGACCACGACGGGGCCCATGGAATAACAGGGCCTCCGTCTTATCTAGGGCCACCCGTAAGCCCAGCGCCTCAATGCGCCCGACCACCAGGGAGACTCCCCCTGTGGCCAGGCGCGCCGCCTCTTGGAAGTTTGCCCCCCGGGCTGTCACGAGGGTATCGTCTGCGTAACAGATTACACCCAGCCCGGGGGGGAAATCGGCGCGAAGGGCCCAGTCGTACCCTATGTTCCACAAGAGGGGTCCAAGAACAGACCCCTGTGGAACACCGCACGACATGGGCCGACACCTCAAATTACCTTCTCGGTCCTCGTACACGACGGTACGCTCCTCTAAATAGTCTGCCACTAGCCGCCTCAGGTACTTTGGCACCCCATGATAGTGGAGTGCTTCCCTGATGCAGCTGAATGGCAGACTATTGAATGCGTTGGCGATGTCCAGTGACACCGCCAACAGCACGCCGCCACAGCTCACGGCCTCTTCGGTCACGGCCCTCAGGCGCAACACGGCGTCGACCGTCGAACGCCCCGCCCGAAAACCAAATTGGGCGTCCGACAGATCGGGGCCCACCTCGCAGAGGTGCCGGACGATGCGGGCAGAAAGAACCCTCTCAAACAATTTGCCCGCCTCGTCCAGCAGCACGATGGGCCTATAGGCCGCGACCGAATCGGCAGGCCGTCCCGGCTTCCTCAATAGGACCAGCTTCCCGCTCTTCCAGCACTCAGGGAAGCGTCCCGACGCCAAGCTAGCGTCGAACACCTCCCCGAGGCGGTCTGCCATGTGGTTGAGGGCCAGGGCCAGCACTCGGGCCGGTACCCCGTCTGGCCCAGGGGCGGTGTTCTTGGAACGGATCCGTAGAACAGCCGCCCCTACCTCCGATTCCCGGACGGGCGGAACATTATCCTCCCCGTGCTCCCCGTCGTCTCCGGCCAAGGAGGCCATCGACGGGGGAGTGTGTTCCGCCCGTTGTGGGAAAAGGCCCTCAACCACTTCTCGCCAAAACCTCCTTTCTAAAGAGAGGCTTATGTCCAGCAGTGGACTATTAAAGGCTGTTGATGATGGATGATGACGGGTAAGGTAGGCAATAATTTGCATGTGAAGAATGAGCTACAATCAAGAAGATTATACTCGTATAACTACTGAGCCCGCACCACTAAACACGCTGATATTTTCTTAAATGTAGCGTACAATTAAGAAAATAATGATGTATTTTATTTCAGAAAATAAAAATCTATAAAATCCAATCAAAATATCACTGTGCCAAAATTCTTCGTAAAAACTCCACCAAGAGAATGAAGTTGAAAGTTGCACACGTGGTACTATTTGAGCTTCAATTGTTGTGAGCACTGAAAACCGCTTGTCATCGTAAGATAAGCGAGCTTCATATAAAATAAAATCAAATAGGTAAATATTACAAGTGTGATAGGTCCTTAATAATAATGAATGGTTGAACTTAGCGCATAGCGGTATCCAAACACATTTCTAATGTGATTTATGGTGTGTTCTTGGAACTGAGCTTCTTTCGTACACCAGCTGGTGACCGTTAATAATTCTGTCTTAGGTTTGCGAGATATGCAAGTTAAAATGTACTATTGCTTTAGAATAAACCGCCAATAAGACCATTTGTCAGGTTTTAGTTATAAATCTGGAGAGCTTACAACCATGTACATCGTTCATACTTAGGTAACGGGACCATTTTTTGAAGTGATAACTTCTTTAGACATTTTTGAACAACAAAGAAAA